TATCGCTCAACCACGTGCCAACCCGCATTTAGACACGCCCACTCCAACGGGATCGATGGGCGGTGGGAGGGAGATAGAAAAATGTTGCCTCGACGACAACTTCCGCCTAACTGCACTTCAACATGTCAATTTTTCTTGTCCCCGCCGCCCAGATGAATGGATAAAAAAAAAAAAAAAAAAAAAAAAGGAATCAACCCCCGTCCGAAACGCCTACGAAAAATGCCATTCGAGAGGAAAACTCACAGCTCAACTTGCATGTGTGTTGGCATTTTTCCTCTTTTTGCCATACTCCAAGTCACTTGTCATGGAGGCCTTTTGTCTGCCAAAAACCCCATGCCCGAGTTGAGCGGCGCTTTAAATCATAAACACCTTGTTAGTGCAACAACTCGACACTTTGAACGTGACATTGATGCCTGTTTTTGTGCCGGTGAGAACTCGAGAACCCGACAACCCGGGAACCCTGGCCCAAACCGAAGCCCGAAACAGTTTCCGTGTCTCAAGCATCGAAAAACAAGCGAGCTCCGGCCGGAAGGTTGGGTTTTTGATGTGGACGACGATGTGGACGTGGATGTGGCCGTGGTGAGCCCGAGGTGATGGTGCTTCCATGTGCAACTTCCTGCCGATAACCTTTTCCCACACACACACACACACACACACACATCCTCACTCACACGTGCCACAAAAGCCGTCGCCGAGGTTGGCCTTATCGTTTCGCTCTTGGCCATGAAGAGCAGGCGAATGCAGCCATCAGCAAGCACGGTCCTCCGGACCAGACACTCGCCCTTAATTAGCCACCATATCCCGGCTAGGCGGCTTAAAGTTTGGCTTAAAGGTGCGGCCAAAATAAAAAAGGAAGATATAACGCAAAGAAAGAAAAATGTATAAAAAGGTTGTACATTTAAAATGAGTTTTTAAAATAAGATTAAAAATGGAAATAAAAAATGTTTAATATATTGTTTTAATATTCTGGTTATTTTCCCTTTTCGAATGTTTTCTCAGTTAGACCACTCCATTTTTCACAGTGCCATCAAAATTTTCCATTGCTAACCCTTTAGGCCAACACACGAGTTCTCTGGCTTTGACCCAAACTAGACACATGTCAAAGGTTCTCAAACGTTGCAAATTAGTGAACATTAGAGCCTCGAATAAAAATCCCAAAACAAAAGGATCATCGGTAGAATTCAACTGACAACACGAGTGGCAGAGGCACTTTGAAACAAATACAATTTGCCGTTTGTCCATTTGTCAGAGTCAATGTGCCTCGGCTGTTGCGTTTGTTTGTGTATGTTTTGCCCACTTGAAGTGTGTCAGTTGGGTTTTGGCCCTTTGTTTGTGCATTTGACAGTGCTTTGAGCTTATAAAGGGCCGGAGGCATTATGACTAAATTCCTGTTCCAAGACTTGCCATTACATAAATTACAGCAATTTAATCAAAATGTCGGTTCGTATAACTCAAATTGTATGGCATTTTGATTGAGTTCAATGAACTTAGCCAGGGAATTTGTCGGAATGCGCAATAATTGGTGTGCAATTCTAATGGAATTGCGATAATTGTATAATTAAAAATAGTTTGGTTCTCAGTCGAAAATTATTCGTTTCGATTTATTTTCATTTTTTTTATACTCCATGTGCAAGCGTTAGCTTTTTTATATAGATTTTGTGGCCACTTCATTTTAAAGTCTTTTTCGAACCCATGTCTCTGAAATCAAAACTCAAAAAGGTTCGTTCACACACACACACACCCACACACATCCGCACCCACAAACTGTCGCACTCATACATATGTGCATTCAAAATGGCCGCCACGTTACTTCCGCTAAGTGACGGAGCCTTTTGGTCCATTCACTGTTTGCTCTTGGCCATCAAAGCTTTGGGGGACAAAACTTTTCAGCTTTTTTATTTTTTCGCAGCTTGTTGTAGCTGCTGCTGTTTTTTTCCCCCGTTTTCGGCTTTTATTTCGCATAATTTTTGCTCCTTTGTGCGAGTCCTCGGGGCGGTGGAGCCTTTGACGCCTTTTGAAAGGCAGTCACCTGTGTTTTTTCCTCCTTTTTCGGCGCGTGTGTATTCTCTAATTGTTTGTTTGTTTGCTCGCTCGCTCTTATTTACTCACCGTCCGTCGCCTTTTGTTTAGTTTTTACGTCTGGCCAAATCCGTAAAGCAGCTCGTAAAGTTAAGCAACAACAATAAAGCACGAAGAGCAACAACTAAATAAGGCATATGGCCAACAACAATGACGCCCCACCCTCTCTTGTTTTTGTATATCTTCATGTTCGGGCTTAGTTTATTTTTTTTTGTTTCGCTCCTTGCTCTTCAAGCCGTTTGTTGTTGATGTATGTATTTTTTTTTCGAGGCTCAGACAACTTAATGCTATTTGCACCATACACACACAGGCACACCTTGAGTCCTCGAGCGACTGCCTGCTTTTGTTTGGAGTTTTTAACAACTTAAGCACGTCGTCGGTATTGGTTTTTCCCAGCCGCCACACTCCGCTCCTCCGATTTTCCTCAGACTACATTTTCCTAGTTATATTTTTCTACTTCCTGCCTTTGCCTTTGTGGAAATAATCACGCGCGCTTTGAGTGTGCACCCCCCAGATTTCCCAGGCTTTGCGGATTTTCCTTTGCTTTTTCACACTTGGTTACTTCCGGCGCCCTTCTGAGCAAATAGTTGGGAAAGCGCGCTTCTATTGTTTTCTTTTAATTTGCACAGACATGTGAAATATGGGGACACACAACACGTTTATAAAAAAAGAGGATAAGGCATTGACTTTTTGTTCAGAAATCAAGTGGTTATACGAATATGTTTAATTAAGAAATTACTTGTCTCTCTGCTTGTTTCTGTTTTCTGGGTTAAATAAGCCCTCTCCCCTTTATTAATAATATATTCCATTAATAGATTCCCATATTTAGTTGGCAAATCAATCAAACAATGAGTGATTTGCCTCATCAAAGCTGCCCTCAATTATTTATGTTATATTTGCCAAACAAAAACCAATCATGAGCTCTAAGTGCCCGCACACTCACCTGCTGGATTGAGTATCCAGCTGTCTTCTGCGAGTGGCAAACCTATTAACTTTTCCCCCTTCGCCCTTTTCTTCTGTTTCTGCAAGGACATTTATCGGTGGCCCCACAGTACATTAGTGTGTGTGTGTGTGAAGCACTTTGTTGCTTAATTGATTTTAATACAAGTACCCCTCTCCTTTTTCGCCATCGGTCCTCAAGTGAGTCGTTCGCTTTCATAGTTCGAGTTCGAGTCTATAAATTGGCTTTTTCCTTTCCCTTTTTGCAGATGCAGCAGCTGCCTGTCCATTTCCCATTTCCATTTCCGTTTGCAATTGCAGAGAGCACAGGCCAAGGATGAAGTACAAGAAGAAATTGGAGTAGAATGGCCATAGAGGTGGAAGTGGAACTAAAGGAAGTGGAAGGGGAAGTGGCAGAAGGAGGAGGCAGTGGCAAAGGCAAAGGCAAAGAAAGTAGAAATGCCATTTATTGAATTGTATAAATTTCTATACATTGACAGCGACTGTTTATTCTGCCCAGCCAACTGTTCATGTGTGGGTTTCTCTTTTCTTACCCGATTACACAGAGAAAAAATAACGAACTTAGTTAGATAAAACTATTATTTAATGATATGTAACTTCACCATTTTCATTGCTTAAATATTTGATATTTGTTACAATTAAACAATGTAAAATGTCCATATTAAGCCCTAAGAAACTAGTTCCGTCTTATTTAACGTTTCATGATTTTCTCTCAGTGTAAAAGGGGAGCAGTGTGTGTGTTTTGCTAAGCTTTATCGCATTTGCATGGCAAAAGTCTCGGGCGGAGTTGGGTCAAGTGCCCATTCCCGCCCTGGGGTCACTCATTTGTTCTTTTGATTGCAGAGCGTTTTTGCCCGTTGCCCGGGCTTTTGTTGTATTAGTAAAATAAATTACCATTTAGTGCTTTTTGCCACTTGCACACACACAAGGACGTACACCCCAGAATACCCTTACACACACACACACTGAGAAACCCTTTGGCTGTCACACATGGTCGAGTGTTGTCCTTTGGCTTGCAAATGAAATTATTGCCAGGGCTTTTGCATCCGCCGGTTTGCTGGATTATAAGCCACCATCTGCAGCTGTATGGGTGTGTATCTGTGTGTGCTCCCCATCTGCAAGTATGTACCGTGTGCTGTATGTGTGTGTTTGTGTATGTTACCCCACTGGCAAGTGCAGGCCATAATAAATTGCTAGCAATCGCATTTCCGTTTCTTTATGCGCTTCGATTACGTTGCGCTTTACTTGCGCCAATTCTTTTCTTCCTTTCTTCCCCCTCGTAATTGAATATATAATTTTTTGTTCCCTCTTTTACACACACACACACACACATATGTACACACCACTCGCCTGCCATTTGAATATAAATTGTTTTATCTCCTGCTGCAAAATATTCATTTCAATTTATTTTACTTTTCTTCATTCGTTGCGATTGCTTCGCCTTCCTGCTCCTCATACGCTTTTATTTTCTCAGCTCTCTTTTTTTTTATTAAATAAATTATTTATGCATTGTCATTTGGCGTCATACGACTCGCCATTTTCTATGTGCACACGCCGCTAAGTATGCAAACATTTTTTATTTACAAATTCGGGATTACTTTGTGGAAGTTGTGGGGTCGGGCGAATTTTTATACATTAAACATCTGCGACGACAAGAGTTGGGAATCAACTTGACAACTTTTTGGAAATGCCAAATAAGGGAAGAGCTTTAACCTTAAAAATACATGTTTTTAAAGCATCTTTTCTTGTTTCAAGCTTATTAAAATGATATCTCCTCTTGAAAAAAACATCAAAGTGGGTGTCCCCCGTTCCAAACCCTCCTTTAAATAAACTTCAACAGTCTTGTTTGCCTAACTTTGTGGCTCTAAGCCGAAGAATATGCAACATGGCCTAAGAACATGAGTAAATTTAACTTTTGACTTTTATACTCATCCCCGCACTTTGTTGACTTTTCTTTGCAGTTCCCAGCAAACCCCAGAATCTCACCATCCTGGATGTGTCGGCCAGCAGCATCACGATGTCGTGGCATCCGCCGAAGAATCAGAACGGAGCCATCGCCGGTTACCATGTGTTCCACATCCATGACAACCAGACTGGCGTGGAAATCGTTAAGAACTCTCGCAATTCCGCAGAAACACTCATTCACTTCGAATTGCAGAATTTGAGTAAGTTGTATTTGAATAAACAATACCATTTTTAAACTTTTTAAAATATAGAAGCAAGTTGTATACGAAATTACAAAGGTTTTTGTTTAAAAACTTTTTGTTTCTTTATTTTGCCTGGCCAATATATTATCACAATTTTAATTGTCCAGGTGGATCAAAGGACTCTTTGACCCGCGTCAACTTCAGAGTTCAGAACTTCAAACTGTCAACCATCGAACAGCCCAGTTTGCCAATGGAAAACCCCTTGAACCCTTGAACCTGCCCAAGGACCTATTATTACCTCTAATTGAGACCCCCCGTCAAATTGTTTGCCAGCTGCTTTGTAATTAAATAGTTTCAAGTGCTCGCCGCCACTCGCTTGCCACTTTCTGTTTGGCAACAACTTTTGACGCTTATAATTGTACACCCGAAAGTCGGCTAATTTACCTGATTAAGGCGTGAGTTGTCTTTTAGGCTGGAAGGCGTCATATCCAGGATACACCGCATCAGAAGAAGCCACTTAGGGAGCTTCGTGGCAAACTGGTAGAGTTTTTGGAGGTTTTTAGACGAGCCCCCGGAGCCATGCAATTAACTTGCTACAAAGTTATGCGCCGCATTCCACATTCCCGTGCACCCACATTGTTTAATTTAATTACACGACTCAGGTGTGCAGATGCACCTGCAGGATGCACCTTCACCTGCAGCAAACTCCTGCACGAAAATTCAAAAGAAGCAGCCTTTTGCGGCATGCTGGCTTCTCCCCCGGGCCGCCATGGCAACGTTTAATTATTTCCAAATTTAATCCATGTAGATGTCAGCAGTTTCTCTTGTTAATTAAATCCAATTTAAGCTGACAACTCCGGTTGAGCTCTACCTTTTTTTTTGCATTCGCTTGGCAGGAAAAATCAACTCATTGTTATTGTTGCCGCTGTCGCATACATTTTCGCTGAGTAAAATTTAATTATAAAGCCGAGCAGCGACCGCAGTGTCCCTTTTTCAGTTCTTGGCATCCAGTCACATGCGGTGACGGTGCTCATAATGAGCAGGGAAAAGATGCCAGGCTCTCAATTCGAGGTGGCATGTTGATCTTTATATTTTTCAATATATACGTAAATGCAGCTGACATTCGCCAGAGATATTTACGAGCAATAAAAGCCTCAACTATCGAATCAAAAGGTATTTAAATCAAGAAAGAGCCATTAAAACAAATGTCGTAAATGAATAAAGAAAGGAATCCTTTTTTTTTGTAAAATAAAAAACAAATTAGCTTCCATATCCACTCGTATCAAACTTTATTATTAATGAGTAAGTATTTTTCATTTTTTTCAGGACCCTACACCGATTACCGAGTGATTGTTAAGGCTTTTACCACCAAAAATGAGGGCGAACCCTCCGATCAGATTGCACAGAGGACAGATGTCGGCGGTCCCAGTGCTCCGGCGATTGTAAACCTCACTTGCCACTCCCAGGAATCCATCACCATTCGGTGGCGAAGACCCTACGAGTTCTACAACACCATCGATTTTTACATCATCAAAACTCGATTGGCTGGACAGGATACGCACCGGGATATAAGGATAAATGCTTCAGCCAAGGAGCTTGAAACTGCGGTGAGTTTAAAAACAAATTTATTACCTAACCTAGCCAATTTAAATAGAATTTTAAAGTAAATATTCAAGAGTAAATATGTTCAAGTCCCAAAATTTGAAAGCTTAAGTTTGTATATGGAGGAGCAGCCAAAAAGTTTGAGGGTTAATCCCCTTTGGAGTCTGGCAGCAATAATTCATACGCAGCCTCTGCGAAAAAAAGGAAACATTTTGCCGCGCTGTTAGCAAGCATTTTATTGGCCTGCCAAGTTGGCAACATGGTTGTCCGCCTTGTGATATGTCAATCGAGTCGGCTTATCGCGGCCATTTGGCCCGACCCGCGTCCATAAAAAACGAGAAGTTCTATGATAAACTACCTAATACAGACAGATATGCAGGGAGGTAGCCAAAATAGAGGGCCGAAAAACAACAAAAAGCCGGCAGTAATAATTGCATTTTTATGCAGCAAACAACAAACGGCATACAGAAAAGCCCACCTGCCACGGCAACTGAAAATGTTTTATAAAAATTTCTATACCAAAAAATGCACACAAATTTCCACTGCATCCAGTGCAGAACCAAACACACATGAAAAGACCGCCCACCTGCGAAAATAAATTAAATTTATGTTGTATTTCCTGTCCGCCTTTATGCCGCGTCTTCCCTTTTTATTTAGCGCCCGAAATAGAAGCAAAAAATGCGAAAAGTAAATAAATAAAAATAAAACTTTGTCGTGGGGAATGTGGCGAGGCAAACAAATTTCGCAACAATAAAATGTTATCATACACATACCTGACTTTTTCCATATCTGAAACTAGTTAGGTTATTGTTGCGTCCTTTTTTTTTGTAACCTCCCCTCTGGAATCCTCTATCTTTCTCTATTTCCTCTGTCGCCTTTCTTTTGTTCTGGCCAGTTGAAAATATTTTTGTAATTGAAATATTTTGCAGCGGCAAACAAGCTTTTTGTTGAACAACTAAACAACAGAAACGGCAATAATTTTACCTTTGTTTTTCATTGTTAGTTGCCGAATGTGAAAGCTAAATATTTAGCTTTTTCATACGAAGGAGACAGAATTTGGCAAAAGTTAAATGAAAACTAAATTAGAAAAAAAGCTCTTCTCTCTTAACGATTGAAATATGTATTTTAAAAGCGTTCTTTTATCATAAACAATGTTTGAAGCAATGTTTAAAATATTTTAAGTGTATTAAAATATTTTATAAAGCGACTCCTAAACCTTTTCTTTTTTTATCCAATTGCAGATGATTCTACAAAATCTAACAACGAACTCCTACTACGAGGTCAAAGTGGCAGCGGCAACGTTCAGTGTCATAAATCCAAAGAAAATAGTGCTGGGCAAATTTTCGGAGTCAAGGATTGTAAGTAGCGCATAAAGATATCAAATGCAACCCACAAACAGACTACTAACACCTGCCACCAGCGAACAGACTTGGCATTTTGCTTTGAGGCGGGCCAAAATGCAGGGCGGAGATATAAGGCAGGGGGCGTGGCGCGCCATAAAGTTGGCAGCCTCGGCGTTGTCAGTTTCCATATCAGATTACGTGTCCAAAAAGGAAGCAGGCTGCTCCGTACAGAAAAGTTATGAAGTTGAAAAAATTCTATCCTGACTTGGGGGAAATACTCAGAACTTGTCACAGTTCTAGCGCAGTGTTTTTACTTTTTCATGTGCCTTTAATATTGTTTCTATGCATTATTGAATTCCTGAAGAGCAGAGGGTACAGGGCGTATGCGTAATAATAGGTTCATACGGAACAGATAAATATGTGGCTAAGCCACTATATAGAAAGAAAGGTAATTGATATTCTGTTCTATGACGCATTCATGTTATAGCTGTTCTTCCTAAACATTAAGGAAAATCAAATAAGGAAGTTAGGGCTTTTCCTGGGCACCAGCGTTTATTGACATTTAGAGCCCGCACAGCACAACTCCTTCAACCTGTCATAACAACATCCTTAATGACATTCCACACTAACGCAAACACACACACACACACACACCGCAAACTTTGTTGCATGCATAAAATATAATCCAAAGTTGTGGCAGAAATATAGCAATTTAGTTGACCCCAACTTTCGAGTGGCAAGGGAAGGGGGGTTGGGGGTCAAAGAAGGAAGCAGAGGAAGAGGACGAGAAGGAGGAGGAGGGGGGAACCGCAGCGACACGCCCTCATAAGTATGCAGCAATATTTTTTGTGGCTCTTGTTCTCTCCCTCGCTCATTCATAATTCATTGCCATTGTTGTTGTCGGACTGCCTGAATTTCAAGTGGCCTGCACCTTTTGGCCGCATTTACATGGCCCGCTGCCATTTTCCGCTCGGCGCACACAATCGTCCCGCTCTCCCGCCAAATGGCGCTCATTTAAATCCTTTCTTTTTTCGGGTGGCAACAGAAATCGTATGCAAAAGGCGGAAATAAACAAGCGCACATAAAGAGTGCGCGAAAAACAAACAAAGGGATGAAAAATCAACAAAAATAAAGCTCGAATGTAATGATAACACAGGCACACACATTTGTAAGGTACACAATTCACACACGTACAGAGAAAAAAAATGTTGTCATAAAATTGTAACCCAAAGGGCTTAACAGGTTTTTAAGTAGCTTATATTACATAGAACAAAATGTGCTTACTCCTTTTTATTTGTTTCTATAAAAAGGAGTAAGGACATATGTTTTTGCAGGTGTAAAAAGAGTAAACATTTCTCAAAATTTGTATTTTTTTCTTTGAAACAGATTCAACTGCAACCGAATTGTGAGAAGCTTCAACCACTCCTCCGTCAATCGCATAATGACTACAACCTGGCGGTCTTGGTGGGCATTATCTTCAGCTGTTTCGGCATCATCTTGATCATCATGGCCTTCTTCCTGTGGAGGTAAGTGGCGCTCTATGACTCGATATAGCACTAAAACCAAAAATAAAGATATATCTAGAGGCAAGTGCAGTTATAGAGGCAAAAGCAGATGTTTTTCTTAGTCAGACGCGTGCAGTTCCATAAATAAAACTGAGAAAAGTGTTGTCAAAGTGTTGAGTGCAAAGCACTGTCCTCCCACTCTCATATAAAAAGTTTAAAAATAAACCCGGAGCAGCAAATCAAGTCGAGCAACTTATAGTAGACAATCATATAGACACGAAAACGTTGATTTAGGCGGCATATTAGCTAAGCCAAAAGCATATTAATTCCGTATCTTTTTTAATTAAAAATAACATTTAACCATCAAGTACTCTTCAGGGTATCTCTGCAATTTTAACGCTTACATTTATTAATTAAAAAAAGCGATGGAAAAATAGGTACCCCTTTACAGTGTTCAAGGGGACACTCTAATCCATAATTAAGAAAATAACTCGAGCATTTCTATCTTCTTTTTGTGGGCAAACCAGTAACCAAACACCATAAACTTGAAAGGAAGGGTGGGCGATCCGCATATTCCCTGGAAATGTTAATTAAAATTCAAATCGCAAAAAAACAAGAGTCCGAAGCGAAGCCAAAACAAAGACAAGCAAAACAATTTTAAGTTACTTAAAATCTTTATTAAATGTAAAAGTGGTTAACCCATTGCCCAGACCCACGGAATCCTCAGTATCCGGATTCGCATTTGCCGGAGGCAAACATTTGAGACGACAAAATGAAAAGCGTTTTGTACCCAACTTCAATGGAAAGAATTTTGCATATTTTCTGTCGAAGCGATTTTTTATGCTGCCGCGAATATGCCAAATGAAAGTTGCCCAACCCACTTTTTTACCCATTCTCGGGCTCGCTAACAAATTAATGCCATTTTATTTATTTTTTACAAATACCCTGCGAGCAGAGCAGAACGCATAACAGCGTGAGGAGATGGAAAAGCAGAAGGTTGGAGTGTTGCCATCCCATTTTTCAAGTTACCCAAGTTTTAGAGCGGAAAAAATTATATTTTATTAAGCAAACAAAGGCGAATTTCTACAATTTCCTTTTCAATGCAAACAAATATAAAGTGAAGAGTGGGTGGGGGAAGCCAGAACAAAAGTCAGGCGGAAAAAAAAAACCAGTGGGTGGAACGCAGGAAAAACAAGAAAAAAGGGTTTTGCGTTTTATGCGAGGGCGAGAAAAATCTTGCAGAACTCAATTCGCGGCTCTTGGCGAAATCATTTACATTTACTTTTGCATTTACAGAGCACTAATCAGCGTTTAGTGGCTGCCACTGCGGGCTTGAATGGCAAAAAATCTAAGGGGAGTGGAAATTATTTTAATAACTGCTGCGGCTTGTGGCAGGTTAACTAAGTCCTAACCACACACTAGAAAACTTGTGCAACTTGTGCGCAAAGTAGAAATACTTTTGCCATTTCTTGTGCCAACAATTTGCTAGCAAGAGCGATAGGAATCTTTGTAGCTTACATGAGAAATAGTTATGCCAGACTTACCTAATAAACTAACTTGGGGTTTATATTATACAGTATATTTTTATAATATTTAGAATAGGTTAGTATGAGCTTTAGTTTGTTGAAGTGGTAAAGATTTCAACACGTAAATGCAAGGTATAAGGGTATAATATATATATATAAAATGCAAGGTATAAAAGGGTATCCCCCTGATGAACTGTGTTCAATATGAGTTTCCCTTTGCATTCCGACGCCAAAATAGCAAAGGAAAAGGAGAACATTTCCCCCATTCTGAGTTGAGTTCCACCTCATGCTGACTTGTGCGTTGCTTTTTCATATCTGATGCAGTTGTGAACATTGTTTTTGTGTCGACGGCTTTATTTGCCAGCAAATGTGTGTGCGCGTGTCTGGTTTTTCGTATAGAACTTTTCCCTATGCCAGAAATAGAATAGCATAGTCGGACATGAAATTGTTTTCGGGCACAGTATTGGTAACTTTTCCCAAAAAAAGTTCCGTTTTGTGAGAGCGCCTTTCCCAATTTTCCCCCTCTTTGCACTGACTTTATCAACGGTATCAGTTATAAACTTTCCATGGGTAAATATCTCCCAATACAACTTGAATTGAGGAAGTTGTCTGGCGCAATTAAACGATTAACAAACATCGGTTCTCTATAAGGCAGCAAGTATTTAACAATGCGTTTTGTTAATTGATTTATTGATGAGTTAGTTGGGAAGCAACAATAGCAATCAACAGTTTTCTGTCTGTAGACTTAATTAAGCTGACAAGAGAAAAAAAACATTAAAACTGTTAATTATAGATGCAGCTAAAAAGGTTAAATCAATGTCATATGTAGATAAGATAGGCAGCAGGATTATATAGTAACTTAACTGGCATTGTCACAGTGCAACATGCCTAAAAAAAACCTGAAAATATCAAAAGGTAAATAAAAAGCATATTTCTAAAAATAATGTTTTTCTTTTTTAATTCATTTTAATGTTGATAAATAATTTTCCCGGGAATAGTTACTTTTTAGCATTGTTTACTGTGGAAAAGAAGGCAGGGCAAACTGGCTTTTTGCGGCCGGTAATAAAAACGTGCCAATTGTTATCAAACAGCTGATGGAAAGCTCGGAAAGCTCGCTCTTTCCACACTATATATCTCGTTGGGGCCAAAGATCGGAGAACTGGGGAAAAGCTCTGGCATCGCGCCGATCGCTAATTGACAAGAGTTCAGTTGTCCAGAGCACGCGCGTTTATAAGCACGAGAACTAAAGATTCCTATGCGAGAACAACCAACCAAACAGAAAAAAAAAAACGATTATACTAAACCTTATCAATAAACAACGCGAAGCGATAAGTGAAAAGAGAAACCTGCTAGTATTTGTTGTACTGTTGTTGCCACTTCTTATTTTTTTAAAACGTCACAACCACAGCCTCATTAGTTTGTTTGTGCTCCAAGTGTGAGTCGGTAGTTATTGCGTACTATTTTCGCAAGTCAACTGGCGACATTGCATTGCCAATATGACGTAATTTGTGTAAATATGTAAGCTGAAATTTTGCATATATACAAAGCAAAGAGTGCAATGCAATTCTAGCGAAGCGACACATTATGTCAGGTGGCAGGGAAAGACGCTGCAGCAGCCCCATGCTACCAGCAACATCAGAAATTGCAACTGCAAAAGCAACAGCAACAGCAGCAGCAACAGCAGCAGCAACAGCGGCAACACCAAGGCCGTTGCGCCGCAAATCGCATGGTGGAAATTGGTTTACGTAAGTTTTTCGCAGCTGCACCCCCGGGAAAAGTGATCACTCGACGCAACTGTCACGTGTTCGCCGAACACAAAATCATAAAGATATATTAACGACCCAAAGTCAGGTTGCATATTAAATGGAGGGGCAGCCAGTTCGAGCGGAAGTTGACAAAAATAAGTAGATACATTTTTTGGTGCGTAATAGAGCCGCAAGAAAAACAAAACTCTTCGATAAACAACAACAGAAATCAAGAAAAACATATGTAAATATATGTGCATAGCATATAGTACGTAGAGCGTAGGAATTTCTTATTTTCTGGATGGTTTTCCCCCAATTTAGATATTTTTTTACTTATTTTGTGGACGGCAAAAGTAAACAAAGCCGAATCGCGGTCTCCCGTTGATAAGAATTATTGAAACAATTATCAAAGTTCTCGATTGCCGCGCAACTTTTGTTTATGCTGCGAAACTTCGTAGAGTAAACAAGAAATCTGAGAATAATTCCATGGAATTGCTTACAACGACAGATCATTATCGCTCTTAACTTATAAAAAGCCAGCATTGAGAAATAAAGTTTTTATCATTACTGGGAAGTAGCCATGTAGAAATGGGAACGTTGCTCATCATAATTTCTTAAATGAACACAGCTTGCTAAACATAAATGTTCTTTTAGTTCAAAAATTTAAATATGTATATCCGCCAGCCAAGATGGAGAAATCGATTTAGAATCAATACATTGACATTCAGAACAGGATTATTTCCGCAACATTTCTGATCGAAGTGCAACAATAGAAAGCCGAGGGAAAAGTTAGCACAGTACAGTCTGGACCACTCAATTTCTATTATGTCCTGCACTTTCTCCCAAGGCTGCCGAGGCAGAAGTCCCGCAATAGAATCAGCTACAGCGAGTGGAAAAGTTTGCTGGAAAGTTGCCAAGTTGCAATGGTTAGCAGTCGGGTGCACTTCTAAGCGAAACTTGCTGCAAAGTTCCCTGCTCCTTGTAATCGCTTAAGCCAATTACAAAAACTTAACCTCAATTCGTGTACAGAAATTGAACAGGCCATCTTTTGTCATTATTGTCACTCATTTAAAGCAGCTTTGCGCAAATATTTGCACAGCACCGAGGAGTTTCCTGGCGAAAAGGATCCTGTCACAGAACTACTTCCATTTGCCTGGCTGCAACTGAATGCCATTAGCACTGACCCACCCACTTTCTGATATCTATTCACCTTGTTTTTCTCGGCTTTCCACCCACCTGCTTATTTATGCATTTTGATTTTGTTAAGAGCTTGTTGGCCACGCCCTCCTGACACCTTTCGCTGATTTTGCTGAAAGTGATTGCAGCTGTTTCATAATTTGCACAGTTCAAAACTTTTGCAAAGAAAATTATTCCCTCTGTGTTAAACAGAATTTACACCTTTTCCAAAGTAACCAGGAGACATTTGTAAGGAAGTAAGAAAGGACGATGGTCAGTGAGATTCTGCTCTAGTTGCTGTGACACTTAATAGGATTGGGTTTGGATAGGGCAAGGAACAAGTTAATAAGGACACTGCACTTTTAAGCAGCTCTAAAAAGAAAGAGAACCAATAAGGAAAGTGGCAGTAGAAGTGTCCTGTTTAACACTTGGCATCCCTTTTAACTTCTTTCAGCAGAAAGTGCTTCCATGCGGCCTACTACTACCTGGATGACCCACCGCACCACCCGAATGCCCCGCAGGTCGACTGGGAAGTGCCCGTGAAGATCGGCGATGAGATCCGGGCGGCCGTGCCCGTAAATGAGTTTGCCAAGCACGTGGCCTCCCTGCACGCGGACGGGGACATTGGATTCAGCCGTGAGTACGAGGCCATCCAGAACGAGTGCATCAGCGACGATCTGCCCTGCGAACACTCCCAGCATCCCGAGAACAAACGCAAGAATCGCTATCTCAACATCACAGCCTGTAAGTTGGATCTACTCAAAATCATCAACTTAATCTTCTTTTTACGACTTCAGTTTTATTTTTAAAATTATTACCTCCGACTAATGGCTTTTTTTTGCGCCACACACAGACGATCACAGTCGGGTGCACTTGCATCCCACTCCGGGCCAAAAGAAGAACCTCGACTACATCAACGCCAACTTCATCGATGGCTACCAGAAGGGACACGCCTTCATCGGAACCCAGGGTCCCTTGCCCGACACCTTCGACTGTTTCTGGCGGATGATTTGGGAGCAGCGAGTGGCCATCATCGTGATGATCACCAATCTTGTGGAGCGCGGACGACGCAAGTGCGACATGTACTGGCCCAAGGATGGAGTGGAGACCTACGGCGTGATCCAGGTCAAGCTCATCGAGGAGGAAGTCATGTCCACGTACACGGTTCGCACTTTGCAGATTAAGCATTTGAAGGTAGGTTTCCTATAATTCTGTTTGCTTTACAATTTTTCTAATTATGAGGATTGCTCTATTGTAGCTCAAGAAAAAGAAGCAGTGCAATACGGAGAAGCTGGTCTACCAATATCACTACACCAACTGGCCCGATCATGGAACCCCCGATCATCCCCTGCCCGTTCTGAACTTTGTCAAGAAGTCCTCGGCTGCAAATCCCGCTGAGGCTGGTCCTATAGTCGTGCACTGCAGGTGGGTTAATAATGCATTAATTTTGAAATATATATATATTAATGATAAAATGTCTTCCCTTTTAGCGCTGGCGTTGGTCGCACTGGCACCTACATCGTTCTGGACGCCATGCTCAAGCAGATCCAGCAGAAATCGATCGTGAACGTCTTTGGATTCCTGCGCCACATTCGAGCCCAGAGGAACTTCCTCGTCCAGACGGAGGAGCAGTACATCTTCCTGCACGACGCCCTGGTCGAGGCCATTGCCTCCGGAGAGACCAACCTGATGGCCGAGCAGGTGGAGGAGCTGAAGAACTGCACTCCGTATTTGGAGCAGCAGTACAAGAACATCATCCAGTTCCAGCCGAAGGACATCCACATCGCCTCCGCCATGAAGCAGGTGAACTCGATCAAGAACCGCGGAGCCATCTTCCCCATCGAGGGCAGTCGCGTGCACTTGACTCCCAAGCCGGGTGAGGATGGTAGCGATTATATCAACGCCTCGTGGCTCCACGGTTTCCGGAGATTGAGGGACTTTATCGTCACCCAGCATCCCATGGCGCACACGATAAAGGACTTCTGGCAGATGGTCTGGGACCACAATGCACAGACCGTCGTGCTGCTCTCATCCCTGGATGATATAGTAAGTGGTTAAGGAGTGTCCCCTTTTAAATGGAAAATTCTAAATTAATCTGTTTCCCATTAGAACTTTGCCCAGTTTTGGCCGGATGAGGCCACGCCCATCGAGAGCGACCACTATCGCGTCAAGTATCTGAACAAGACGAACAAGAGCGACTACGTGAGCCGCGACTTTGTCATCCAGTCGATACAGGACGACTACGAGCTGACAGTCAAAATGCTGCACTGTCCCAGTTGGCCGGAGATGTCCAATCCCAACAGCATCTACGACTTCATCGTCGACGTGCACGAGCGCTGCAACGACTACCGCAATGGTCCTATTGTCATAGTGGATAGGTGAGTGAAAAAATATCTTACAGAATCGTTTAGGCATTCCACTTTGGAATCAGATTAAAATGTACAAAGTTGTGGGTTCAGAAAGTGCAGGGAAAAGTTTTCTAAGAAAAGTCACCTTCTTTGACAAAAGAACATTTGAACTAGTTGACTTTTTCTAATACATTTTTTCGAACTTTTTCCAGATATGGAGGTGCCCAGGCGTGCACCTTCTGCGCGATCTCGTCGCTGGCCATCGAGATGGAGTACTGCAGCACGGCCAACGTGTACCAGTACGCGAAGCTGTACCACAACAAGCGGCCCGGGGTGTGGACCTCCAGCGAGGACATCCGCGTCATCTACAACATACTTTCATTTTTGCCTGGCAATTTGAACCTGCTGAAGCGCACGGCGCTTCGGACTGAATTCGAGGATGTGACAACGGCCACGCCGGATCTCTATAGCAAAATATGCAGCAATGGTAATGTTCCACAGCATGTCATACTGCAGCAGCAGCAGCTGCACATGCTGCAGTTGCAGCAGCAGCACCTAGAGACACAGCAGCAGCAGCAGCTACAACAGCAGCAGCAGCAACAGACAGCACTCCATGAGACAGTCAGCACACAAGCAACCGATACTAATCCAAGCCTCTTGCCCATTCTGTCATTGTTACCGCCCACAGTCGCTCCACTGTCCACTGTCTCCAACTCATCCACACCACCACCAAGCTCTCCACCACCATCCCCACAAACAACCATCCAATTGCCATCGCCATCAGACCTGTCCCATCATCAGATCTCACCCACAGTCGCCACTGCAGCATCGACGGCTATTACATCGGCAACTGCATCACCAACGAGACCAACAGTCCCAACCAACACCACAATACCTACAATTCCAATCGCAAGCCCCAACAGTTTAACCCTTACTAATGCCAATTTCCATAATGTTACTAACAATGCTGCTGATCTGATGGAACACCAACAACAACAAATGCTGGCCCTGATGCAACAACAAACGCAACTGCAACAACAATACAATACGCACCAACAACATCACAACAACGTTGGTGATCTGCTGATGAACAACGCGGACAATTCCCCAACCACTTCACCAACGATCGTCAACAATATTAACAACAACAACAACAACAACGTCACAAACGCAGCAGCGACAGATGCTCAAAACTTAGATATTGTAGGCTAAACTAAAGATAAATTTACAGAGAGAAATTAAATCATTTTATAAATGTTTAAATATAAATATTTAAATTTAAACCGTACACTTACGTATACATAGCGATGTATTTATTAACGTTTAAGTCGATTAAGTGAGAGCAAAGCGTCTAGCGCCTTGCCCATAAATTATTCATTTTTTCTTCTTGTAAGCTCCTATTTTACCTTAATTTATTCCCCTCACTTGTTCTCCTCGATACTATCTAAATTATGTTGTTCTTCTATAATTTTTTTACATCGTACTCCTAAGTTTTTATATTTTACCTAAATTTAGTCACAAGGGACAAGAAAAAGTCAAGAACAGTAAAGAACAAAAATAATCGCAAATCTACAAGTGGAAACATAGCAGAATGCACAAATTGAACAAGTAGAATTAATCAAGATGAATATTTGTCTAATCATTTATATACGCTGATTACATATAAATAACGTTAACGTTAATGCAGGTTAATTCTGCACACACTTGTGCCATGATTTTTTAAGCTCCTACAAACTCCTATTAACGTAATAATTATTAGTTGAATTACCGAAGTAACCTAGTTGATTGAGAACTTTTTGCATTTCGAATCGATTCAGTGTCCGTCCTAGTATCTGTTATTGTTTTTTGTCTTCTCGAAAATTGTTTTCCAGTTTCCAGTTTGATCACAAGGAAAGAAACTAAAGCAACACTTAGCTACAAATTAATTGCGAATTTAGTAGGCAAAGAAGCAAATTATTGGCAAATATTCCGAGTTACCGAGCACTTTTCACGGAGCACATCACCGCCACTCTTTCCACCTCACATCACTGTAAATCCCAAAGTAAACGTAAATAATACACACGATTTCAGCACCAAGCACAAGAGCATCACGAAAAATTGTAAATAACAACTTAGGCCAGGAAAACGCTGGAAAAGCCCCTAAGACTCATCATTCTGAACAAGCTAAGAATATTGTAAAAACTAAAATAAGAGAAGGCGATAACTACGTGTAAATCTAAGGTAATCGCAAGCAAAGTATTATTAAAATATACAATTCATGTGGAAAGCGAGATAAAAGGAATCCCAATGAAAAACTCAAGTTTAATTTTCGTTTTTCTCTTTTCGATGCACAGGGCGTTACAATATTTGATAGACCCCGAATGACAGCGTAATATTAATCTGTACAGTTCTTAAAGTTAGCCTCGGATGTGGATAAGGATAAAGAAAAACAAACTCAGCACTCTGAATTGCCATAGCTATGGCTGTGTGTGAGTTAGCGAAGGATATGTTTAGTTTGGAGTTGTCCAGATTTAGTCAGATATACTATATATCCCACACACACACAGCAAGTAGAGCGCAAGTAAATTAGTGAATATTTTTACATTTTATATGTAAAATACTAATGGGAAAATGAAAAAAAAGAAAACATAAAAACGATAAACAAACATGTTTTAAAGACTGGTTTTTTGTACACTTTAACTTGAATAAGCATGGATACTGATTATGTAAATGAATGAATGTCAAGGTCCTTCAGTTTCCTCTAGATTTATCCCGTGTCCACCCAATCGAATGTAGTCAGACTACTTGAGAACTTAGATGGTAGGTTGGTTTGATTGGGCTGGGAGCAGCACCCTTCAATCCTGATCGTATCAAAGCGAGAGCATTTCAATCCAATCATTTGCCAGCTGATACCGAATAGGCGGCTCTACATATTAACCAACTAATGACCAATTTTTGTGAGATTATGTTTCTTAGGCACTAACCCGACTTAGGTTAAGACTACTTATACGCTAGAAAGGCTTGTAAATTTCTCATACTGACACCGGCAATGGTAACAAATGCTTCATCTGTAATATAACAACAAGAATCATATTATTTCGATACAATATTGACAAGAACTATGCATTTTAACTGTTAAACACATAAAGAGTAGTATGTACGACGAAACTATAGGTGGATATTTCTATACAATATGTACATAATGTTGTATGTGTGTGATGTACGTCACAGCCAAAGAAAAGCTTAATCAACAGCATTGCAATGGAGCAATGACTACACAGAGTTCTACAGAAATCCAACCCCCAATTAAAAACTGCACACACTTTTCAAGCAAACGGAAACCTTTCCACGACTAAACTACCTTCACACATTAACTAAAGTAAATGAAAATGATACAAAACAACAGATACAACAGATTATCTACTTGACGGTGTTATGCAATTTATAAATGTGATGAATGTCAAAGTTAAGCGTAAACAATTTAAAAACAAAACCACAGAAAATGCAAAAAAAAAAAAAAAAAAAATATTAAAGAAAGATTCATAAGAAAGAGCTGAATGTAGCGAGAACTTAAGTAAGCATGCCCACGATTTTAGAGCTAAGCAAATAGATGATACCCCAGAGGCAGACCATAGATTTTAAAGAACAAAGAATTGCCCCCCTTTCAGACACAGCAAGTTTGGAGTTTCCCGCAGCTTGTAGAGGCCATTGAGGCAGGAGTATCCGATATCAAAGTCGGAGGACGTCCCGCGATAAACAAAATTAATGATATATAAAGATATGTATGTATATGTATGTACACCTAAGCTACTCGTAAGCCAATGAAAAGTTGAAATGGACTAAAGATAAATGATAAATGGAACAGACAAAATTGAAAGCGTCTAAATAAAGAACATCAAATTGCAAACTCACTCTAGCTGGGCGATCGTGTCTCTACAGTGAACTCCACGTGCATCAACCCGAAATGACTGCGGGGCAGGACATCCGGGGTCCAGGTTAAAAGGAGTCCGTTGCCGGATTGATCCTGTAGAAAGATTGGATGTTACGATTTCAGATTGTCCAGCAATTCATATTTACAACTTACCTTTGGAGCCGTTTCGAAGACAATCTTCACCATATAGAGTTTGACTCTGGTGTAGATTGCTCTCTTTTTAGGCTGACCAGGAACATGTGGTTCAACAGCTGGACGTACATACGGAAAAAAATGACCATCTGCGTGGCGTTCAAACGAGCGCTCCAACTGCAGCTCAACATTCGAGGTACTGAATATGCGCTTCACGGTGTGCGAGGTCGTAAAATGCCAGGTGTACTTGTTGAGTCCTTTATATTTGCCTGATTCTATCACAATAGACCTATCCAAGGGACGACGCCTGATTCCAGCACTAAAGCTTTTGCAGAAATGCGAAAAAGTGTCCTGTCGGACAGATAAAATATGAGTGAGATGGAGATAAGGTATATCATATAGCTTACATTGTGGACGTGGAAGTTTTGTTCCACTAAGCGTTTTGTCTGCCCACCGCTAGGAGTTTCCAACGGCTCAAATAGTTCGTTTAGAAGCTCAATCACATGGTCCAGCCATGCTGAGTAGGATAATGCCGGTTGAACAGCCGCATCCAAGCAGATGTTCTCTATAACTGGGGTTGATGTGCCTAAATGATTGACTATCAGGTCCCTTTTGGCGGGCAAAGGTGGCTGTTTTCGGGACTTAACTTCCGTAACAATCTCGGAGACCTTCACAGGAGCCTTTTTTACCACCGATATGGTCGCCAGTTCAATGGGCAGTTGGTCGGTCACCACTGCGGGCGTGGCTTCCGTGAAAATGGGTGGAGCAGCGAGGATATTGTAGGGTTCACTGATAAGCGGCAGTTCTATGTCCTCGCTGCATATATCGATCTGATCCGTGGGCTGAAACTGATCCATCAGTTCGATGTTGCAGTCGGTCAACTCAATAGGCTCCCCAAAAACATCGCAGTTGGACAACAGCTGCGAGTCGTTGGCATAATGGATGAAGGCATCACTGGTATTTGAGGTATTGTGACTAGAAGTGGCTGCCTGCATGTTGTCCAGGTTGAAGACGCCATCAGTGATATCCGGCAAGGGAAGCTAGAAGTATTTAAGAGGAGATTAGGAACGAACTTTGCAAATATAGGTGGCTACCAGTAAGTACTCACATCCAGCTGATCCCCGAAGACGAGTATGTCCACCTGTGGATCGAAATCATCCACCATGCTCAAACTAAGCTCCAAATCCTCTGTGGCAATCTCTCCCAACGGCGTTTCCAGCTGTGAGGGCATCCAGAAGCTCTGCAATCGACTGGTGAACTGGCCATAAACCCGTTTCCCTTGCGGGGAACTCAGGATTGCGGCCAAAACGAGCAGCAAGTGATCACAGATCTCATCCTGCATCACTAGAGAGTTATCGGGCTCCACTATAATCTTCAGCTTCCTGCAAGCACAGGCGTAGCTTCCTTTTTTCTTTGACAAGCCGTTGGCGAAAACGGTGACATGCAAACGTGCAGCTGGAAAGGATTCAGATCTCTCGCATTTCACGGCAAATGTAGAGTGATTCAATTTTTGAACTGCAGGGAGGTGCTCCTCCTCTTCGGCGAACTTGTACAGATGCCAGAGGTGCTGCTTCTGCTCCTGGTTGATGTTCAAGTTCCACAAGACCTCCCGGGACACAAGGTAAACCTGAGCCTTTGGAAACTCCGTGCCCAGTTCTCTACAGGCTTTAACATGGATGCAGTCCAAGGATTCTCCTTCTGCTTTCTTGCAGGACTCCACGTAGCACTCGGCATTGCTGGACACCACCGCAGCATCTGGTTGCAAGGACAGTGTGACATCCCTAACGACCACAAAGTTCCGCGGCTGCTGCTCCTTCTCCTTGATCCTCAAGGAGTAAACCGTGGATCCTGCCCGCAAGGAAACCAACTGGACGGCATCAAGAACATTCCTGCGCTGCGGACAATCGACATTCCGGCAAACCTGAGCTCGGTTTCCATTCACGGCCCCACAGTGAACACACTTGCGAACACCTCGCATTTTTTTCTACATTTGTTCGATATGATTTATTTCGCAAGATTTTGCCGGTTTTTGTTTGTTTTGATTAGGGAGACCATAAAAAATTTGCTTCTAAGAAGCGAAACGAAAACTTATCGATTAACTAAATAAAGGGCTGGGTAGATAAGCACTATTTCTTACATGTATTTTACATACATTTTACATATCATAAAGGGCAGTCTAGCGCTCTTAGTTTTTGTATGATTGCCATCCCTGGGCGAATCAGCTGGTTGTTATCGATAGGTTTTTTTTGCCCAATTCTAATTACAAAATTGTTTTTCTTATTGTCTTGGCGATTTAATAAGGATTTTCCGGGGAAATGACGCATCCGTCGGAGGCGCAAGAGAGAACCCGAAAGTATCCGTTCGTTAACATGCGGATTTCGGATCATTCAATTCTGGACACCATCGAGGGCCGTCACAATTGCAAATTGTGTGATCGCTCGCGAAAGTTTTTCTGCTACAATTGTTATATACCTGTTGGCGAATTGGAAGGAGCACTTCCTCGTCTGGAGCTGCCTTTGAAAATAGACATTATCAAGCACAAGAAGGAAATCGATGGCAAGAGCTCGGCGGTACATGCAGCCGTTTTGGCGCCGGAGCACGTGAGGATTCATACTTTTCCGGACATCCCAGACTATCGGGAGGAACCCGGCGTAGTGCTAATCTTTCCCAGCGCCACAGCCCTTACGGTTCCCCAGCTTTTCGAGCGGAATGTCCAGCTGCAGATAGGTGATAACTATGGTCTGCCAAAAGGTCATCACATGGGAACCATGCTGCGGAGAAGAATGGATGAGGTGGAGGTTCAGGACCCCAATTTAAAGGATCAGGTATCCCCAAAGAAAAAGTGGACCCTGGAGAACCTGCCCATCCGACGAGCTGTATTTATAGACAGTACATGGAACCAAAGCCGTGGAATCTACGCAGATGAAAGGGTTCGTGGACTAAGAACCGTGGTTCTTCAAAATCGGTTGTCGCAATTCTGGAGACATCAACGGGGCAGTCCACGCTGGTACTTGGCCACCATTGAAGCCATCCATCAATTCCTTTTGGAAGTGCACATAAATGCCTGGGGACTGAACTCCGGATATAGAGGGCTAGATAATCTGGAGATCACCGAGGGCTTCCATCAACTAGCGGCACCCTTAACGATCGAAACATCCATTGAGGATGTTGGCAGGGTATCCCCCTATAATGGACAATACGACAATCTCCTGTTTTTCTTCGCCAACATGTATGATCTCATCCACAAGTACTACGATCACAATGAACTGATAGCCTACCGACGACCCATTTAGTTTTATAAGTATATTATTTTGGATAGTGAGAAATACACGCTATTGTTGGCTAAAACTATTTTTTCTTCTTTTTGCCCTCATCGCCGGACTCGGAACTGGAGGACTTGGCATCGGTTTCGATGGGTTTTTGCCATTTCAAAGCGTTGCGACGATACAAGGGCCATGGTGGAATGGTGAACTGAAAATACATGATATGGGGTTATAAACTTAAAGATTGGTATGAGTAAGAGCTCACCAAAGAGGAGATAACGAATCCTGCTCCCAGGATGTAGACAGTCTGTGAAAACTGCTGAACGATTGCTCCGTAAATCAAGCCGACAATTCCAAAGAATGTTATTATGAAGCGTGACCAACGCTCCGCCTTTCCCTGGCCGGCAAAGTCCTGAAAAGTATATACTTATTAAATCGGAAAGCATTAAGGCTGAGTGTTGCTTACCATGTGGGTCTGTATGTCCAGCATTTTGTGTGAGATTATCTTTTAAATTTTCTAGTTTTCACGTAAACAATTCGCTTGCGGCACGTCAGCATATAAAAGGTGTGACCGTGGCTGTAGAAAAATAACAAAGTTAGGCTTTTCAAAATATACTAGTATTTTCTTTGCGAATTGCTCGAGTTAGGTACAAGTTTCAAGATACCGTGTACCTTTATTTTGAAAAATGTTTTTTAATTTTAAAATAGTATTAATAATCCCAATTTAAGAACCGAAAAATATAAATTTTATATCCAATAAAAATCTTGAACTATAAATGATTTCGTGATTTAATGAATCTTTCGTTGTTCATACATTTATTTGTACAATGTGTTCAAATGGCGGTTTTAACCGTGGACGTAATCAATGTGTGGTTTCTAATAAATAAGTGGCGCTTCGTAAGGCTACGATTAAGAATAAGGCGAATGTGCTTGAATTTTGTTTCATTTCAACTTTCTAAAGTCGGGCATCTTCAAACTCTGGCGGCTTTTGTACGTCGCAGGTGGACGATATTGATCACGCAGATGACCAACCAGGCGAACAGAGCTATCCAGGTGAAAACCATTGTGAAATACAAGCATGCGGCAGTGTTAATACGTCCATAGCGCCTTCGTTCGTAGGATACGCTCTCCACCAGGTAGTCCATAAAATCGAAGACTGCAGCGCATGACAGACGAGACTTGATCACGGGCACTATGTTGCCCACACCCTGGATCTCCTTCAGAAGCGACTCCCGATATTGCTTGCAGGTCACTTCGAATCCGTCGGTGAATATGGCAGAGTAGATCAGCTGGTAGATGGCCATGATGACAGAGATAACGGTGGCAGGGAGCCCTAGGAAAATAATTCAATATTAACATCAAGTTACAAAATCGGTTAGGGATCCTCTCCCTTGAATACTCACAATAATAAGGTGAGAGGCCATCGGGAGTAAGTTCGGACTCGGTGGTGACCACAACCATGTCTCCAGAGCTATTAAAAAGAAAGAAAACGAACTTAGTTTCGTTTTAGAACCAATCTTCCCAATCCCCAAAATATGATCCATACGTATTAAGAAAGTTTTATGGTTTCTTAATTGTTTTATTGCGTTACTCATCCGCAGAGTGGTCATCATTAGCATAAGGCCAAACCAGACGCCCCATGTTGGCGAGCAAACAAACGCGGCAAGCCGTTTAACCCACTTGACCCCAGACACTCGATCGGAATTAGAGTACTTACCGCTGCCGGATGGTGGTTGTTCCCGCCTTCGGCTTGCCACGCCCGATGCACATCCTATATCCGTGATAAACGCCCAGAACCACGGCGAACAGCAGCGGCAACAGGAGTCCGTAGGTGGCGTAATGGCAATAGGCGATGTTTCCTCCCTCGAAGCTGTTGTACGTACTCCTGCTATGCAGCACGCAGCCGCAGTTGGTATCCGGGCAGGCATTGAGGACATACCGCCAGTGCGACCAGGCCACCGCCGATGTGATGCAGCATATCACCGAGGAGACGATCGCCAGGGGATACAGAAATGATAATGCTCGCTCCGCTGCGTAGGACATCTTGGAACAGTCTAAACTAGTGCCTGAAAAATTAACAGTATTAATTATCTATATAATTCTATATATTCCAACCAGCTCCATTTTACATCGCTATGGAATCTTATGTAGAATGGGTAACCAATTGGGTTACACTTAATTAATTGGGCACTCTAATTTTCCATAATTGTAATTGCACCAAATTCGTTTACGTCAATTGCTTGAGGGGAATTGCGGGTGGTCAGGTTTCGTTTTACATTTTCTTATAGGGGAAGCACATTTGTTTTTCTCAGCTTTATTCTGACGGAAACCCTTATAGTATTCAAAATATTCAAAATTCATAATCATGCATGTATACATATATTTTCCCAAAAACTTAATTGAAATTTTTAAATTTCTGTTAAATCAAATAGTGAACAAAGAAAATATAGCAAACAATTTTAATTTGAGTGAAAATCTAAAAAAGTATTACAATATGTAGAATGTGGGGTGCTCAAGTGAATTTCTATTACTAAAAAAAGAAGCTTTACTTTCAACAGAACATTGTTTTGTTATTATAATGTTTTAAGATTTGATTACTCCGGTTCGATAAGTCTCACAACTTCTTGGGCGTCTCTCCCAAAAACACACACACACATAAAACTGGTTGCAACTCGCACTGTACCAAATATAAACAAACTTCAATTCCTTCTTTTTTTCGAATTGCTGATGTTTTGTTCAATATTATTAAGCTTAAACTGTTTTTTGATGTTATAAGTTAACTTTAACACCACATTTCTTACAGAATTTACGGATAAACAACAAAACTCCACTGCTGACACATACACACGCACACAGGCGCAGTAAAGGCACACCTACGTTTATCGATATCGCCGCGAGAATGAGAGAGCAGGTGCAGCGCGAGAGAGAGCAATAACAACTGAACGGTTGAGCGGTTGAGAAACGAATGAATAAAAACGGTTGTATGACAGGTTTCTGATCAGAACAGAAAGCATTAGTTCCAAGATATTACGGCGTGATGGCAACGCCTGAACGTTGGCGCCAAACCCCAATCGCGTTGTAATTGTCGAAAAACTTGAATCTTGATATTATGGTTTTGCATCAGCTATGTATGTATATAACCCTATAAGTTTAGTTCTTTGGAATTGGGCACTATCAATTTTCCTTATAATTCCTCCTCGCATTTTTACAACGTTAGTGAACTTAAGTGCAAATATAAAACATATAAATTCGATGATTCCCAGGGTGAATTAATCACTTGCTCAAGAAGATCTAGCCATGGCATCACCAAAGCTCCGTTCATTAGTCCTCATCGCAATCTGCTGCCTGGCCCTTGCAAGTAAATCAAACGCCGAGTGCTGCCGTGAAACCGAGGAAGTGATCTTCAAGATTGCCAAGGGAGACTGCAACGATGTCAAAGGAATTGGATACTATCGGGACGAGTGCCAAATCTACGTCTGCGCGAACGGGTCTCCCGTGGTGGGCACATATTGTGGCAAGGGTTCTTGCAACATTTTCGGCTGCAACTGCGACGGCGGATGTCTGACTGGCAACTGGAGCCAAAGTTTCGTGCAAAACAACAGATTCTATGGAATCGAAGTGGTTCGAGCTTCCAGAGTCCCATATTAAAAATAATAAAACCAATGAATGATCAAAAACATACAAAATCAAAATACTTTGTTATGCACTTATTATTTGGGTGGGAATAGGAGCAACCGATTTGTGGTGATGGTTGGGACAAACGACACCAAAACTGTTCAAATTTTAAAAAATGTACTACAAAAAATTTAGGGTAGAAGTAGTTATTTGCCAATAGATTTTAACTTAGCCGATACATTGTACAAGTATGTTTAGTAATGTTTGTTTTTAATCTTCAATTTTTGAAGTTTTGTTAATTGTTAATAATATCATTATATTTTAAAGGCACAAAAAGCATAACTCAACCATAGACACTATTTGTATTCCTTATCTCTAAACTAAAGGCATCTATTATAATTTGTAAGCGCACACAAATTCCAATCAATAATTTAGCATCAACAGCATTTGCTATAAATTCATTAGAATTGAGGTCTTATCAACTTTCCCAATAACGCTTTTCAAATTCGCAGCCTCAGCAAAATAGTTGACAAGTAAAATCAAATAAATTCACGGTTTCAATGGAAGAATTCATCAGTTTCCTGCAACCATCGTATAACAATCTTACCATGGGATCACCAATCGTTTCCGTTCTCCTCATCGGAATCTGCTGCCTGACCCTGGTCAATAAATCAAACGCCGAGTGCTGTGCCACCAAGGAGGAAGTGATCTACAAGATGGACAGGGGATACTGCAGGGATGTCGGAGGACGTGGAGACGATCCGCACCACTGCCAAATCATCATCTGCGCGGATGGGGTGGCTTTGGAGGGATCATATTGTGGCAGAGGTCCTTGCAACGTTATCGGCTGCAACTGCGACGGCGGATGTCTGACTGGCGATTGGAGCAAAAGTTTCGTGGGAATGAACCGGTACTACGGAATCGAAGTTCTTCGAGCTACTAAATTCCCATAAATAACAAAACCAATGTCGATGTTTAATAAAGAAAAACAGGCATGGGAATGAATTTAAATAAATTAAAATTCTTTTTGTTTGATCAGAAACATACAAAAACAAAATACTTTGATATGCACTTCTTATTTGGGTGGGAATGGGAGCAACAGATATATCGAACAAATATTTTTAGTAATTTTTGTCTTTATTCTTCAAATTTGTAAGATATTGAAAGGTTGTTTATACAGCTGTGTTTATAGAAATAGCATTGCAACAGTAGCAAAACCATGTAGGGGATCGTAATGATCGTAAAGCTCAAGACGGAGGGGAAAACGTTCAAAGAGATCCCAAGGATTTAAAAATGTCTTGCCAATAAGGTGCTTAACGCCTTAAATTAGCCCAAAAAACGTTGTACCACAAAAAAAAGTAAATTTAGAGGACCGGTATCAAAGCCAGGATGGAATTTTACAAAGCCACTTAAAATGGCCACTTAAAGTTACGTCATATCCTTTAACTAATTTAGATCGGCCATAAAAGCCATTTAGGTTTCTAAGTTGATATTTTTTTCAATAAATTGTTAATAATAACATTATATTTTAAAGGTACAATCAGCATAACTCAACCAAACACGCTTTTTTTATTCAGGGAAAATGTCTATGTCCTATCTTTAAGCTCAATGCATCTATTATAATTTGTAAGCGCACTCAAAGGTTCCAAGTAATACTTTAGCATCAGCAGAATTTGCTATATATTCATTACAATTTGGCACTTATCACTTTTCACAATAACGTTTTTCAAATTCGCGGCCTCAGCAAAATAGTTGACAAGTAAAATAACATAAATTCGCGGTTTCAAGGGGAGAATTCATTAGTTTCCTGCAACCATCGTATAACAATCTTACCATGGGATCACCAATCGTATATCTTCTCATCGGAATCTGCTGCCTGGCACTGGTCAATAAATCGAACGCCGAGTGCTGCGCCGCCAAGGAGGAAGTGCTCTACAAGATGGACAAGGGAGAATGCAGAGATGTCGGAGGGATTGGATACGATCCGCAGCACTGCCAAACCTACATCTGCGCGGATGGGGTCGCTCTGGTGGGCACCTACTGTGGCAAAGGTCCTTGTAACGTTTTCGGCTGCAACTGCGATGGCGGATGTCTGACTGGCGACTGGAGCAAGAGTTTCGTGGAGAAAAACCGCTTCTACGGAATCGAAACTATTCAAGTTAACAGGCTCCCATTGTAAAATATAATAAATCCTATGTCGATATTAAAAAAACTAGACGTGGAAACGAATTCAAATGAATTGGAATTCTTTTTTGTTTAATCAGAAACATAAAAAAAAAATAGTTTGTTATGCAATTAATATCTGGATGGGGATTAAAACAGACGCTTTGTGGAGAGAAATGGGACCACCGACTCCTAATTCCTAATATCAACTTTCAATTGTTTGTTTGTTTGTTTCAATTGTTTTTATAGAAATGTGAATGCAACAGAAGCTCAACCATATAGCGGAGTTTGCTAGAGAGGAGGAAATATTTTAAAATCTTCTGCCAAGGTGTCGAACGCCGTAACTAAAACAAAAAACTCCGATCCATAGTGTACTGATCCAGGTATAGCAAAGCCATTTCTTTTGCATCCTCTAGAATTTTTAAAGCGGAAATAAAATTGGGGATCAGCCACTAATAATTTGTACGGGGAATTGTGAACGTACATAGATTTTTAAGCCGGAAGAGCACAAAAGGTGCCGCTACTTAATCCCGGACATTTTAAAGCACGGATGGAATTTGCCAAAACCATTAAAATGCCCAACTGCCAACGTATCCATGGACCGATGTTGTTCAGTCATAAAACACATTTACATATCCAATTAAGGAAGAGTTTTTCAGGTTTATATTCTGACTAAATTGTGAGCAAAAGTTAAAGGTTCAATCAAAATAACGCAATCATATTTCTGTATTCAAGGAAAATGCCAATACCTTATCTCTAAACGTTATGCATATATTATTATTTGTAAGCTCACATACGATTTCCAAACAATACTTTAGCATCAGCAATATGTGCTATAATTTCATTAGAATTGGGGTTTTATCAATTTTCCCAATAACTATTTCCAAATCTGCAGCCTCAGCGAATTAGGTGCCTAGTAAAATCTTATAAATTCTCGGTTTCAAGGGGAGAATTCATCAGTTTTCTGTAACCATCCTACAACAGTCTTACCATGGGATCACCAATCGTTGCTCTACTCCTCATCGGAATCTGCTGCCTGGCTTTGGTCAATAATTCCAACGCTGAGTGCTGCACCGCCAAGGCGGAGGTGATCTACAAGATGGACAAGGGAGGCTGCAGCGATGTCGGAGGAACTGGTGAAGATCCGCACAACTGCCAAATCTACATCTGCGCGGATGGGGTCGCCCTGCACGGCGCATATTGTGGCAGGGGTCCTTGCAACGTTTTCGGCTGCAACTGCGATGGCGGATGTCTGACTGGCGACTGGAGCCGAAGTTTCGTAGAAAACAACCGATTCTATGGAGTCGAAACTATTCGAGTTACCATGTTCCCATTTTAAAATATAATAAATCCTATTTTGATGACAAAAAATTGGCATGGGAACGATTTTGAATAATTTATTATTCTTTTTTTTTTCTCAGAAATATAAAAAAAATAGGTTTGTTCTGCAATTATTATCTGAGTGAGATAAAAACAATCGCTTAGTGAAGAAAAATGGGGCAATCGATTCCGAACCTTTTAAATTAAAAAATTCTCAATAAATTACGGTGGAAAGGGGTAGAAGTAGACATTTACCCATTGTTTTAAACCAAGCAAATCAATTAACAAATAAATAAGCTTGTTTGTACAGCTGTGAACATAGAAAAAGCAGGGCAACAGAAACAAAGCCTTGCATGGGAGTTTGATCGTACAACTTCTCCAAGAAGACCCTAATTTATAAACCTCAGCCCGAAAAACTTGGTACCACCAAAAAAAAGAAGCTAATTTAGAGGAGCGGTCTTAAAGCCCGGATGGAATTTGACGTAGGTTCTTAAAATGGCCAACCGCAAAATTATGTGATATGCTTTAACTGATTTGTAAATAATACTATTATATTTTAAGAGTACATCAGAATAACTCAATCATAGTCATATTTTGTTTTGAAGGAAATTGCCAATACCTTATCTCTAAACTTAATGCATCTATTATAGTTTGTAATTCCAAACAATACTTTAGCACCAGTAGCATTTGCTATAAATTTAAAAGAGTTTGGCACTTAACACTTTTCCCAACAACTCTTGCCAAATGCACAGCCTCAGCGTATTAGGTGTCCAGGAAATCCATATAAATTCGCGTTTTCAAGGGGAGAGTTTTTCAGTTTCCTCTGACCATCCTATCACAGTCTCACCATGGCATCACCCAAGCTCCGTTCGTTTCTCCTCATCGGAATCTGTTGCCTGGTCTGGTCAATAAATTAAACGCCGAGTGCTGCAACTAAAAGGAAAAAGTGATCTGCGAGTTGAACACTGGAGTTTGTGAGAATGTCGGAGGATTTCTTAGCAGTGCACCACTGCTCTACATCTGCGCGGATGGGGTAGCAGTGAAGGGCACATATTGTGGAAAATTCTTATTATTGTCTTTTTTTTTCGTTGAAATTTTTAAGCTTTTTTAAAGGCTTATTTATACAGATGTGTTCATAAAAATATTAGTGCAACAGAAGCCAAGCCATATACATACGTAGTTTGATCGTGAAGCTTAGAGTCAAAGACATGACCGGAAGAAACTTTACAAAGCAACTTAAAATGGCCCTTCAAAACGACGTAATTTTCCGGGCTATATTCTGACTAAATTGTAATAATACTAAAAGTGTTTTATGGGTGCCATCAAAATAACTCAATTATAGTCACTTTTTGTACTCAAGGAAAATGCCAATACCTTATCTCCGAACTAAATGCATACCGATATTATAATTTGTAAGCGCACACACTATTTGCAAACAATACTTTAGCATCAGCATTTGCTATAAGTTCATTAGAATTTTGCACTTATCAATTTTCCCAATAACTATTTTCAAATTTGCAGTCTCAGCGAAGTGGGTGCCAAGTTAAATCATATAAATTCGCGGTTTTAGGGGGAGCATTCATCAGTTTCCTACAAGCATCCTATAACAGTCTTAGCATGGCATCTCAAAAGCTCCATTCGTTGCTCCTCATCGGAATCTGTTGCCTGGCACTGGTCAACAAATCCAACGCCGAATGCTGCACTTCCAAGGAGGAAGTGATCTTCAAGATGGACAGGGGAGACTGCGAGGATGTCGGAGGACATGGAGACGATCCGCACCGCTGCCGAATCTTAATCTGCGCGGATGGGGTAGGCCTGCACGGCGCATATTGTGGCAGGGGTCCTTGCAACGTTTTCGGCTGCAACTGCGATGGCGGATGTCTGACTGGCGACTGGAGCCGAAGTTTCGTGCAAAACAACAGATACAATGGAATCGAAATTCTTGAAGTTACCAGGATCCCCTTGTAAAATATAATAACACCTATGTTCATATAAAAAAATTGAAATAGGAACGATTTTAAATAAATTTGAATACTTTTTGTCTGATCAGAAACATAAGAAAAAAAATTTGGTTTGCCATTTTTATCGGGGTGAAGATTAAAACAGACGCTTTGTAGAAAGAAATGGGATTGTCGATTCCTAATTCCAAAAATGAAAAAATTGTAAAAAAAAGAAAGGATATAACCAATTTGACAGTAGCTTTTAACTTGGCCGATACCTGCCAGTATTTATTATTATTAGTATTGTCAGTTTTTTTGTTAATTTTTTTTTAGTTTTTTGAAAGCCTATTTATACAGTTATGTTCATAGAAATATCAGTGCAATAGAAGCAAAAAACCATATAGCGGAGTTCGATCGTAAAGCTTAAGGCTGGGGGAAAAACGTACAGATTTAAAATATTTTAAAATCTTCAGGGAAAGAAACCACATAAAAACATATTTAGAGGACCGAAGCAAAGTGCGCTGCAGCAAAGCCATTGAAATTAAATTTGGGGATCAATCCGTCAGATCACAAAAGGTGCCGCTACTTAATCCCAGACATTTCAAATCCCGAATGGAATTTGCCAAAGCCTCTGAAACTAACCAACAGCAAAATGACGTCAGATTCTTGGACCGATTTTGTTTAATCAAAAACGCCATTTAATTATCCTATTAAGGTGGGTTTTTGCAGGGTATGTTCTGACTTATTTGTAAATAGTTCTATTATATTTTAACCCTTATGTTAGTAACCAACTTTACCGACGTCTTTTAGCAACCGGGTACCCGGGTACCCATAATTCTGAATATCAAAAATTTTGTTTATTTTATTAAAAAAATTTTTCCAAAATATTTTTTTCTTAAAATATTAATAGTAAGTGACAATATAAGGAAAAAAAATAGTGATGACGCTAAAAAGAAACCAGAAATAATAAATTTCTATAATAAATATAAAACTGGAGTCGACACAATGGACCAAATGGTGCGGAGATACACCAGTCAACGACGATCCTCGAGATGGCCAATGGCAATGTTTTTCAATATGTTAGACATTTCTTCACTTGCGACATATATAATTTATTCTAAAAAAAATAATAAAATGATAAAAAAAACGACAGAACGTCGTCAATTTATGCGTAAGCTAAGTGAGGAACTAGCATTGCCGATGATTGAAAATCGTACCGCGAATCCACAAATAATGCGTCACTTTTCAACAAAGATTGCCATTCAAAGTATTTTAGGCCATGCATTGACAGAAACAGTCGTGGTAAATCCTGGTCCAGAGATTCCAAAAGATAAAACCGGAAGAAAAATGGTTATAGGATCTTGCTATGTCTGCAATGCTTTGCCAATAAGAAGACGGCGAAAGACACGCAAGTCTTGTGCCAATTGTCGCCAACCTGTATGTGACGAACATTCAGTAAATCGTGTCCAGTGTGTTCAATGTAATTAATTATATTGCATGCATTTATAAAAATTTTATTCACTTTATTTCCTATGCGTTCCACTGTGGGTACCCGGGTACCCGGTTACTAGTGAGGCGATGGCTGAAGTTGAAGCATAAAAAAATCGAATAAAAAAAAGATATATAAATTAAATGAACTCGCAACTAGCTTCCTTTTAAGTTAAAAAACGACGATTTAAGAGCTTAACATGAAATATTGAACTTGCTTTAAGCTTTTCACACAGATATACCGCGGGGGGTACCCGGGTACCCGGTTACTAACATAAGGGTTAAAGGTACAATCAAAATACTTAACTCAAGCAAAGTCACTACAGTAGAATCCTGTTATAACGACTCCGCTTATAGTGTCCGTCCGGGTATTGCGACGAAAACTCGATGGCTTGATTGGTCCCCAGACAGACTAATACACTTAAATCCTTCTGCTTAGTGCGTCTTCCGGGTATAACGACGAAAAATCGACGGTCCCTTGAAAGTCGCTATAAGCGGATTCTACTGTATTAGTATTCAAGGGAAATCCTATAGCTTATCTATAAACTAAATGCATATAATATAATTCATCAGCATCAGCATTTGGAATAAATTCATTAGAATTTTGCACTTATCAACTTTGCAAATTTGCAGCCTCAACGCAATGGGTGCCAAGTTGAAACATATAAATTCGCGGTTTCAGGGGGAGAATTCATCAGTTTCCTGTAAGCATCCTATAACAACCTTACCATGGCATCACAAAAGCTCCTTTCGTTGCTCCTCATCGGAATCTTCTGCCTGGCTCTGGTCAATAAATCCAACGCTGAGTGCTGCACTTCCAAGGAGGAAGTGATCTACAGGACTTCCAACGGAAATTGCGAGGATGTCGGAGGAATTGATGTAGGTTCGAACATCTGCCAAGTCTACATCTGCCCGGACGGGTTCCCTCTGGTGGGAACATATTGCGGTAAAGGTTCTTGCAACATTTTCGGCTGCAACTGCGATGGCGGATGTCTGATTGGCGACTGGAGCCGGAGCTTCGTGCAAAACTACCAGGAATACGGAATCTCAGTTCTTCGAGCTACCAGAACCCCATTATAAAATATAACAAATCCAATGTCGATGTTAAAAAAAGAACAACAGCCATGGGAATGAGCTTAAATAAATTTGAATTCTTTTTTGTTTGATCAGAAACATACAATTACATACAATTTACAAATTCTACAAAAGGATTGGGATAGAAGTAGCTTTTACCTTAGCCGATATATTGTACAAATTACATTTTCTGCCGAGAAGGTGTCCAGTGCCCTAATTTGTAAACCTATAAGTTTAGAGGACCGGTATCAAAGCCAGGATGGAATTTGACAAAGCCATTTAATATGGCTACATCATATCCTTTAACTAATTTAGTTTGGCCATAAAAGTCATTAACTTTTCCAAGATAAATTTATCTGTTTTGTGTTCTTACTAAATTGTAAATAATAGGTACCTACTCTTATATTTTAAAAGTACAATCAGAATAACTCAATCATAGTCATATTTTGTATTCAAGGAAAATCTCTAAACTTAATGCACCCATTATAATTTTTTAACACAAATTCCAAACAACACTTTAGCACCAGCAGCATCTGCTATAAATCTACTAGAGTTTGGCACTTATGACTTTTCCCAATAACTCTTGCTAAATTGACAGCCTCAGTGTCCAGTAATATCATATAAATTCGCAGTTTCAAGGGGAATTTTTCAGTTTCCTGCAACCATCCTATAACATGGCATCATCGAAGTGCCGATTATTAATCCTCATCGGAATCTGCTGCCTGGCCCTGGTCAATAAATCAAATGCCAAGTGCTGCAATACCAAGAAGTATGTGAACTACAAGATGGGCAAGGGACTATGCGAAGATGTCGGAGGAAATGGAGATGATCCGGAGAACTGCGAAATCATCATCTGCGCGGATGGGGTCGCTAAGAAGGGCTCCTATTGTGGCAAAGGTCCTTGCAACTTTTTCGGCTGCAACTGCGATGGCGGATGTCTCACTGGTCACTGGGTCGGAAGTTTCTTGCGAAAAAACCGGTACTACGAAATCGAAATTCTGTACATTACCAAGACTCCATTTTCACTCTGGGAATAGGCCTAAATACTAAATTCTATATTGATGTAAAAAAATTAAAATGGGAACGAGTTTAAATAAATTTCAATTTGAATACTTTTTTGTTTGAAAATAATAATTTGCTATGCAATTTGTATCTACCGTCTCCGAATTGATTCCTTGATGGAATTTGACAAACACACTTAAAATGGCCAATCGCAAAATGACGTCATATCCTTTAACCGATTTAGTTCGACCATAAAAATATATTTAAGTTTTAATTATGTTTAAATTTCTTGTTTTGTATTCTGACTAAATTGTAAATAGGCAAATTCTATTTTAAAGGTACAACAAAATAACTTTATCATAGTCACTTTTTGTATTCAAGGAAAATGCCAATACCTTATCTCCCAACTAAATGCATTTATATACTATAGCTTGTAAGCGCACACACAAATTCCAAACAATACTTTAGCATCAGCATTTGCTACTGATTCATTAGAATTGGGCTCTTATCAAATTTCCCAATAACTCTTTTCATATTCGCAGCCTCAGCGAAATGGGTGCCAAATTGAATCCTATAAATTAGCTGCTTCAAGGGAAGAATTCATCAGTTTCCTGCAACCTTCCTATAACAATCTTACCATGGGATCATCAATCGTTGCTCTTTTCCTCATCGGATTCTGCTGCCTGGCTTTGGTCAACAAATCCAACGCTGAATGCTGCACCGGCGTGGAGGAACTCACCTACAGCATGAGCAGCGGAAAGTGCCAGGATGTCGGAGGGTATGGAGTCAGTCCGGATAAGTGCTATATCATCATCTGCGCCGATGGAGTCGCCAGGGTGGGAATCTATTGCGGTCAATCATCCTGCAACGTTTTCGGATGCAACTGCGGAGGAGGATGTCTGCGTGGCGACTGGAGCCGAAGTTTTGTGGAAAAGAACAAGCAGTACGGAATCCAAATCCTTAATATAAACAGGATGGGCTTTTAAAACCTGTTTTGAAAAATAAAACACAGAAGCGTTTCCTAAGCATTCATTTAAAACTACAAAAAAATATTGTACTTTCTGGAAGATGATTAAATAAAAAAATAATTTTTCAGCCGAAAAAATCATTTGACTACTCTTTTGTGAACATAGGTTAATAAGATGACGGGAAGATCAATTAAAATTGTTGAGCCTAATGGCCAAAATTTGATATTTTAATATCTATTTCACAATGTAGAAATTTTGGCCGAGCGCCATGGGAAAAATCGGCATTTGCTTGCAATGTCTGCCGACTGCGATAAATGACGCCTGCACTCGCTGTTCGTACAGAGATCGTCCCGAATAACCCCTCCATATCCATCCAAATAGTACGACGAACTTGCCGAGCGAATTTTGGCATAAACTATTTTCCTCGGACGCCTGACTTTTTCAGTTGCCAGAGAGTTGTGGAGCCGTCAAGATCGCGGAACAGTTTGCCCACGTAATGCCTTACAATTAAACGGATTCCTAGGACTAATTTGCCAGTAATTTGCGATCGAAAAAGTGAAAGCTTAAGTGTAATTGCCAAGTATTTTCGATCCCCCATCATTGTTGTTGAAAAGTTACGAAATTGCTATTTTTTCGGTGATTTTCAAGCGTTGCAACCCCACCGATTTGCAGCGAGAACCAGACAATTCCGACTATAAATAACCCAGGCAAAGGGTGAACAAATTTTGATGTGTACTCGCAAATCATAAGACCACAAAAAAAAATGTTCAGAGAAATTTTGCAAAAATTTGCCTGTGCGATTGTTGTAAATTCGTTATTTTAATGAACCGACTGCAATTCGAGGGAAGGCAATAAGTAAATAATTAATGGCTTTTCTTCTCGTGTTTGTTTATTTGTAGAGAGTCTGTCTATCAATTAGGTGTAATTAATTAATCAAATGGGTAATTATGTGTACTGTGCCGCTTTTAACACATTTTGGATATTAGACTTGTAAAGGCTTGTGGCTTGATTTAGTCATTACTTAGTTAACTAGTTATACATTACAATTTATTACATAAATATTTATCTGGCACCATATCCCTTTTTGTATATTATTACAAAGTAAGGGAAGAACTTCCTACCGACGTCACCTAAATTTGTAATTAATTATTAAGAAACAATTTATAATCAATAAGATTTCTACAAACAACACGATGACTGATCAGGAAAGCCTAATAGATTTTCGCTTATCTCATGAATGAATGCTTTTGCTACTTATAGACGTCGCCTGCACAAAATTCCCACAACGACACAACCCGGCGCCCGCCCGCATATTTCCCATAGATAGAACCAGAACTACACGGATCCAGACAGACTATATACTATATACAACAGCGCACACAGACAGTTCCCCGGCTGATCCGATCCAAGAGTTGGGACAGTGCCCACGATGGATAATTGGAATGTTTTGGCAGCGCAAACCTCATCGCAGGCCATCGGACTTCACGACTCTGGGGTGGTGAGGACCCGACTGGTAAGTAGTTCTGTGTAGAAATATGGTAAACAAAACAAACAGCCAACTGATCGTGTACATATAGTATTGTATACTCGTAAAAATCTTGGCAACACAAAACATGCGTTCCTATATGCTTTTGTTTTCACTGAGAAAAAAAGATGTCTGAATTTGGGTTTTACAATAATTTCAATGTTGTTTAGGAGCTACCTTATTAGTCCAGGAAAATATTTACGTTTTTTTTTTGAAAATCAACTAAATAAAATTTAAGTAAATTAAGAAATATATCCTTAAAGGTAACATCACCAAAATTATAAACTTTTTTTAAAACCATAGTTACTCCTAAACCATACTTACAATATTTATATTATTGAGATTACTTCCTTTGATATTTCTGAAAAACTCCTGATTACAAGAGATGTATGATTTTTTTATGTGCACCGCCAGGTGGGTGGACCGGTGGTTGGGTGGTTCTGGGAGAGTGCGTAAGTGGTGCGGTGCCCAAGAACAGCTGATGCGTCCAAGACAGATCTCACTGCTCTCGTTACTAGCGCTCGTCTATTAATAGGACCGTGGTTCTCTTGAGTCTATTGCCTGGTGGTTCTTTTGGAGATTTGTGTGTCGGGTCTTTAAGGCTGCCACTCGCAGTAGCGCGAAAGTAGCTCAGATCGACGGATATTTGGTGGCAGACCGGACCACGCGTAGTTTCATCGGGCTTTACCTATATTTTATATAAGCAAGTGCTTTCGAATCAGTTCTATATACCCTATACGAATGGATATTTCCACCGACATTTGGGGTCAGCTGGCCGTCGAGGCGTCGCAGGTTTACCTGTCCGATGGAACAGTTCGCAGTCCCTTCGCCGATACGGTACAAAGAGTTTTTAATATTACTTTGAGTTATACCCTGCAAATAACTGGGGGAGAATCCGTCCGAGAAAAAGAGAACCACAAGATTCACTCAAACCAGAAATATATAAAAACGAGTGAAATGCAGTAAATACAAAAAATAACAGAAACATTTGCGTAAAAGTAATCTCATAGTATTGTGTGTTCAACACACAATAATTAAATAGAAAGACAGATTTTAATATGCGGAAAATTGCACTGAACTAAGTTTAGCTCTTGAATGAATATACATATATCTTATATTTGTATACCATTAAAAATATGTTTTCTGAATAACTAAATTGTTTTTCACACCTCTAGACCATTGAGAAGCTGCCCGACAAGGTTCTACTGCACATCTTCTCTTACTTGTCGCACCGCGAGATTTGTCGCCTGGCCCGGATTTGTCGTCGATGGCGGCAGATTGCCTACGACACGCGCCTCTGGAAGAATGTGTCCCTGCGACCGGAGGTCTCTGGACTGCATGTGGGCTCCCTGGAGATGCTGCTCCAGCTGATCTCCGTGAGGTTCGGTCCAACGTTGCGCTACATCGAACTGCCCATCGAGCTGATCACGCACACAGTGCTCCACGAGCTGTCCGCCAAGTGTCCGAATCTCACTCACATGCTGCTGGACTTCTCCACGGGTAAGATTTATCCTTTCTTTAATAGTCAGGTATTATAAATATTTCGTATTTTCTTAGCCATGCAGCTGCACGATTTCAGCGAGATGCAGGCCTTTCCCACCAAACTGCGCTACATGTGCGTCTGTCTCTCCGAGGTGATCTTCATGGAGGGCTTCATGCGCAAGATCTACAACTTCATCAACGGCTTGGAGGTGCTCCACCTGATCGGCACCTATGAGAAGTGCGAGGAGGAGGAGGAGGAGATCTACGAGGTCATCAATGTGCACAAACTAAAGTCGGCCACTCCGAATTTGCGGGTGATCAATCTGTATGGAATCAACTTCATCGACGACTCGCACATCGATGCCTTCAGCTCCAACTGCATCCAGCTGGAGTGTCTGGCAGTTAACTTCTGCAACAAGGTCACCGGCTCCACTTTGAAGACCCTCATCCAGAGGTCCAAGCGCCTGACCTGTCTGCTCATGAATGGCACCAGTTTAAAGTCCGAGTTTGTGATGCAGGCCGAATGGGACAAGTGCGCTCTGCAGGAGTTGGACATCACGGCCACGGATCTTTCGCCCGAGTGCCTTGTGGATTTGCTAACCAGGATTCCTAGCTTAAAGTTCCTATCCGCCGGACAGATCAATGGATTCAATGACAGCGTTCTCAAGCAATGGATGGAGTCAGGAACTACAAGGTGGGTTCAAATACTATTATCATTATGTTATTATAAAGTATTTTCTTTAATTGTGTTTTACCCTTCAGGTCTCTTATTTCCCTTGATTTGGACTCATCGGACAACATTACAGATGAAGGTCTCCTTAAGTTCATTCAGCGCCAGGGTCACCAGCTCAGCGCCTGTTGCCTTTCCGGAATGCCTCATATCACCGATCAGTTGTGGATGAGTATTCTTCCTTTGCTCGGAAACTGCAAGTAAGAATCGTTATTAATAAAATAATTTAGATTCAAATATTTAACTTTTCTTACTCTTTAGGATCATAGTCATGGGCACGGCTGAGAAACTAGGAGTCAATATCCATGTGGACCAGCTGATGGACACCATAGCCTCCAACTGCGGCAACTTGGAACGCCTGGAGTTACGCTGGGATCCGGATAACCTGCGATTCTCCGACAAAAGCCAAAAAGCCATCGACATTCTGCGTGTCAAGTGCCTCAAATTGCGCTGCATGGTCCTCAGGTGAGTCATGCCCTATTTTAAGTTTGTAAACTCTGTTAATTAATTAATGAATTTCAGCGATGGTCGTTATTATGAGACGGTTAAGGCCAACTTTGAACGTGCCGATCGAATCACCGTGGTGCGGACCACCACCTGTTGTAGGGTTTCACCTTATCACCTGCTCCGCAACTATAATGATTTGATTTTCAACTGAGAAATATTTGTGACATATCAAACTGTTCATATTATTGTTAACCGCAAACGAAACACCCAAATCTCTAGTCAAAAGTCAACACAAATGTTTCTGTGTTTTCGCTTACTTTAAACTGTTTTTTAATGTTTTCTGTATTTTCCGCTTCTTTCGTTTAATTACATTAAATCTAAATAAACATACATAGGTAATTTAAATAAAAACAAAACAAAGAATTTCTTATTCAAGTAATTTTTATATTACAAAATTATACAACACAATATTTCGTTTGCTATCATTTTTCATCTGTGTTGATTTCGTGTTTTGCTTTTAACTAGATTTACTTGGTAACTTGATTAAATCATTTTCAGACTTCACCACATAAAATGTTTATCGTACTTGTTATTCTCCGCTGTTGGTATTTTTACACTGTTTTCATCCGCTGCAAACTTAGAGCTACATTTTTTTGTGTGTGTTTCAACATTTTTGGATCAACTCTTTACCGTAAACTTAACGTACATAGATCTCTGGTTCAATTATCGTCTCATTATGGTTCAGTGCGCTATTATATGCATGGTATATAATTTAATTAAGCATGGCTGCGTGGTTATGTAAATGTGTCTGTGCCTATGAGGATCGAAGGTGTGTTAGGTGTGTCGCGTGTGCTTGTCTTAATATTTTGAGTGCTAGGGTCTGTGTCTTCATGTAGTAGGAATAGATTGCTCGTGAAAGGAATAGAGAAGCCTTGGATCGCTACAAAGATTCGCAATTTTTACATAAGTACACTAACACACAGAACATTTCCAAGTGGTAAGATATAGAAGAAAAACAAGGTACGCCGAGCGCTCCCGTTCCGATTCGAACCAAGCCGGTTACTGCTGATCCTGCGACATCCGGAACATGTGCGTCGTATTGCTGGCCGCCGCCGTGGCCACCGCAGCAGCGGAAGTGGCCGTCGGCGGAGGCGGTTGGGCGGATGCGGAGATGTAGCTGCTGTCACTACTTCCGCTGGCGCTGATTCGCTGGGTGGAACTGCTGGAGACGGTGGCCATCGACCTCGCCTCCGCAGCAGCCGCTACTGAGTCCATGATGGTCGATGCCGCCTCAGTGCCGATCACCGCAGCTGCGCTGGACGAAGTGGTGGCCATCTCCGGGTTCTCCACTGGAACTCGTTCCGGGGAACGTCGCGGCGCACCAGCGTTGTTTCCATCCTAAAATATAGAGGTATTAATATACTTTCCTTCATCAACAGTTTTACAACAGAAGCTTTGAATTCTGCTTCTGTACTCACGTCTCGAGGATAAATACGAAGGGGCTGTTCAGCCTGGGCAGCCGCCGCTGGTTCCGCCTCCTGCGCACTTTCCTCCGCCTTGTCCGTGTACATCATAATCTCATGGCAGAGAGGGCAACGATCCTGGACATACAGCCACTTGCGCAGACACACGCCATGGAAGAAGTGACGACACCGGGTGATCTTGGCCGAATACATTTCCTTAACGAAAAACGGAATATCACATACAAATCGAAAGAAGTAAAATTCAAGACAAACTCACCTGATAGCAAATCGCGCAGACATCGTCGAACGCCTGCAGTTGGGCAGGAGTTGCTTCTGGCAGAGAGGAAATCTTGTGGACCGCCGAACGCCGCTTCATGAAAACCGACCAGCCCGCCCGCGCCTCGCACCAGATGTTAAAGTAGGCATGGATGCACATCATGATCGCTCTGATGGCGCCGCCTGTAGCATTTTGGGCTATCAAGTTATAGTTATCGGTACACAAAATCAACCAAATAAAAATATTACATGCACACATTTAACAGAAAAGCTGGACGCGGAACTGATGGTGGATTTTGAGGTCCGGATTCGATGCACAAATATGCCAATTGAATGCGGCGATGGAGTCGCTTCTTCATGTGTTAATGTAACAAGGACGAGGTTCGCTGAACTTACCCGACTCGAAGACCAGTATCCAAGCACCGTTGATGAACAACAGAATGCCAAAGCAGAATTCCACCGAGTTACCAAAGGCACGCACGTAGTACAGATAGTCGTCCAGCTTTTCCCAGAAGAATTGCCGCCGGGCGTCCAGTAGAAACAGCGTGTAGGTGGCCAGCGAAACCAGCACCTGGGAAAAGGAATAAAGTTATTAATTAATATGCCAAAGATCCCAATATTTGTACATACCTTTACGATCACCTCAACAGAGAAGGCAGTAACCGCCAGCAGCCAAGTGGAGATCGATCGTTGAGACCAGAGATAGTAAAGCAGCGACACGGGCATCACCACGAGAAAGGCGCAGACGCTGAGGGCGCGTACATGCCGTTTTCGGGAGGGATTTCGCGCCGCACTCAACGACATCAAGATGGGCGATACAATGTTGTGCAAGAAGTGCAGCAGAGCGGTCATCAGCAGGCACAGATTCCGGCACAGCCTAATAAATCGCTTGTCCGGCGACAGGGATGTCAATCCCGTCTGCAGAGCGAGGATGTAGAAAAGCACAGCTGAGACGGTGCCCAGCGACTTCTCCTCGTCGTTGTCGTAAGTGAGGAGGTACCACTGGAAGCCGCGTCCGATATAATGGCAAATCATCGAGATGACGCCCGTCATCCCCAAAACCGCCGTCAGGGTTTCACAGCCATCGACGAGAAGCTTTTGTGTGGCCGGCATCAGTTCGAGGGGTTCTTCGGATTCCGTCGTCGCCAAAGCATAGCCGCCTTGAATAATCCTAAAACAATAAATGATGATATTATTTTGTATATAAGTAAATAAAACTCAAAACTAAAGCTATTAATGTTTCAAGCTCCAAATCGATCACTTGGAGATTAATAGTCTTGTTTCACTGACACATAAACCCTCTAAAAAGAAAAAGCTAGAATGTTTTACATGTCTTGTAGTTTAATACCATTAACATAAATTAGTAAAATATAACTTGGACCCACCTGATAGTCCAGAAAACTCTTAACACATTGGGCACGTTAAGGCGCTGCCATTCGTTTTCGATGAGCGCCGACAGTCCAAAGTTGGAGACAAAGTTCATGGCGTACTGATACCCATTGTATACCGTCCGACTAGCCTCCATTGCGCTGTGCATCAGCGTGATCTTCGTGAGGATTATGGGCGTAAAACCAGCCACCACGGGTAGGTGTTGCACAACTTTCGGCGGCAGTGGAAGCATGGCCACCAGAATTGGACTAGCGAAGATGATGGGCATGGATTTCTGGAGCAGCTCGAACCTTGGACCCAGGTGAATGTAGGCGAACAGCATGCCCATGAACCACTGGGCCATCAGATGAGGCGCCAGCGACATGACCACGCCGCCCGAGTCCAGTAACCGTGTGGTGTTGAGCGACATGAGATCCTCCAGTATGCTGGGACTTCGCTCCATCAGCGCCAGAGCACTCACATTGGACCAGTAAGACAGGAAGGTGAGACCCAGCGAGGTGAGGAACATGTAGACCATCACCAGGTGGCGGGTCCACAGCATGAAGATGCAAGCGGCGGACAGGAAACCTGCAAAAGCACAAAGATAGTGAGTCAAGTATTTACGTTTTAGTGGGGACTAAAGTACGCGCGATAAGCGGCCCTTGGAATTTTAGATGGTTTCGTCAGCAGGTTGGAAACAATGAACCTAATTCAATCTCACCGACTTTTAACGTTTCGGGTTTTAAGGGAATAAAACTTAGTAACCCCGTGTTTTTCTAAGAAATTAGTAAAGTAAAGTACAGTTGGGAAAATTTATTTATAATTTAGATAATAAAAATTGAAAGTTTAAAAACTAAACAAATTCTAGATAGCTCTTTATCTTTTCCTAGTATAATTATTTTAAGCAATTTATAAGATAATGATACGTTTTAAGCTTTGAAAAGTTAATTATTATTGACTTTTTTATTTTTAACTCCGGTTCTTTTATACGTGACGTGGATTTTTGTTTACCAGGTGTCCTAGTAAAGCGAAAGTAACTCAAATAAGTAGGTGACTCACCGAACAGGCAGATGACGAACTTCACGGTGGTGATGCTGAGCACATTCGCTAGCGTTTCGTCGTGGGATAGTTCATCCATCAGGGAGTTGAATCCGGAGCTCAGCATTCCATTGGATTGAGCAGATCTGGAGGCATTCTCGATGGTCTGTTCTAGGGCAGATTGAGCTTTTTCCGCAGCTGATGAAGTCATTTGAGAGATGCCATCACCTCCGAGGCCAAAGAACTCTTTGATGCTGGCGAGGGGATCCTTCGATTCTGGCGGGGATTCACTAGGTTTCACTTCTGGAGCCTTTTCCGGATAAAGCCGCGTGGGCAGGCCCATTCCGATCTTCAGAATCTCGTCGATAACCATCACCGGCGGAACGCGCATCATGACGTCCACCAAACCCAGAACCTTTGTCCTCACGGACATGGCTGTTGTTTTTTTTTTTGCTTTACCCGAATCTATAGTCTATATAGGCTATAGTTTGCTGATCCAGCGTGACTCGGCGCTTATTGTAAGCCAATATCAAACTCCAATCTGCATTTGTTGTGGCCTTCGTCTTGGATTTCGCAAAAAAAAAAGGGAATGACGATTTGGGGTTGTGTAGGTGCCAATGGTGTATGTGTGTGCCTTTTAGCAGGTGCAAAAATCTCGCTCGTAAAACTAAAAATCTAATGTAAAAAGGTAGGTTTCGGCAGGTGGTTGTTGTTTTTCGATTTTCCTCCTCAATTTTCCTTCGATTTTGTCCGAACTTTACACTTTTTCACAATTAGTTTTTTTGTTTTTCTCCTCTGCTTCTCCTCCTCCTTCTTCGCCCAGCTATCGATATTATCTGCCTATCGGTGGGGCCAATGTTGGCTAACTTCTAGTCGCTTGACTATCGATAGTTCGCTCCAGCTGTTCGTTTGGCGCGCAGTCTGCGATATTCGAAATTGATTTGCAATCCAATGGTGGTAACGTGTGTGTGCGTGTCGGCGGGAGTACTGGAAATTTTAGAAAAAAAGTTTTATAAAAATACTTTCTGAAGGGTCTGGCGTAGCTTTCTATATGTTGACTACATTGTTTTGGACGTTATTTATTTAAGTGAACACATTAACATTTTGCTATTATTTTAAATATATTTTATTAGGTGCTCACAGGTGTTATCAAATATTATACCGATAACTTTACTTTAAAATTCTCTTTTGATTGTCATAGTTTTATTTAAGCTCGACGAATATAGGTGAAATTAAAAAAAGTTGTAAGGAAAAGTTAATGTCGCCAGAAATCATTTCCGTTTCTCATAATATTTGAAATGTCCTCAGTTCTACGTTTTATAAACGATTCCCGGTTAAATATCGCCTGCATTATTTCTAATGTACCCGATTGCAATCCGTATCCGCAGCCCTCCAAGTCATTTACGTGAATTTCCTCAATTGTTCGGTCATTAACTTTTGCTATTTCGAACCTTAATTGTTGTTCTTTCTTGTTTGTGCCACAAACTCCTAAAAAATTCCCCCTTCCTTTCGCCTATGCAAATGCACAAATTGAGGCAACGGCAATGCAGTCCGCATTTCGGGTTCGTTTTGGTTTCGTCCCCAACGCAACGCTCGTAATTATGCGCAATTGTTTAGCGTTTAGCTCAGAAAGTTCAACTTACATAATTGATTTTTCATGCCGCGACACAAGAATTTTAAACAAACTGCACAGGTCATAACAAACAGCCGGTTCCCGAGTCGAAGAATGCATGCTTGTCGATTTTTCTACTGTAGGGTATTGGCGGTATATTAGCTTAAAAAAGCTACAATTCTAAATGAGTGAGCCTGAAATATAACCTGAAGTATCTTATTAATCTTAATTTATAATTACCCAAATCTTGTCTTGCATCATTACTTTTGGTAAAGGACTATTATTTTTAAATATAAATTAGAGCGTCTAACATTCAATGTTTCTAGGATTTTATAGTTATCCCCTGCTTTTTATTTTTCAGGCCCAGCTAATTTGCATAGTTTTCCTGAGTTTTGGGGCAGCGATTCGTGTTGCATACTCGAAGGGGCAGCAAATTGCACAAATTACGCTCGACGGCGATTTCAACTTTTTAGGAGGAACAGGCGAACAGTTGACACTCCCAAAAGGAACTGGGCTCCCAATATGGGCCTCATATATTTAATGTAATCAGTGTAATTGTCATTGCAATGAGCCGGGGGAATCGGGACCGGGTCCTCGATATAAGGAGCCCAATACGATCCAATCCCGAAACGATCCTCTCTCTTTGCGGGTCTCACGCATGGCAATTGTATAATTTATCGCTCCAGTTCTAATCGGCAGCTGTCAGGTAGACAGGTTGGCCGATCTCGGGGGAACGATTTAATTCGCTGGCCATATAAGTCGGAAATTTGTACGTTGATTAACGCGCCAATCGTTTTACACAACAACGTACAAAGTGTCGATGGTCTCCATGTCGTAAAGCCCCGCGCTTTGCCTTGTTTTTCCTCGCTTTTTCATCGGCTCCAATCGCAGTTTCATTTTTACCGTCTATGTGTGATTTCATTACGGTCGCGACTGCACACGAAAAATTGATTGATTTGATGGAATTCCTTTAATTACAAAAAGTATCTTAACATATATTCAAGGATTGGTAAGTTAATCATACCAATCGCCTGACTTTGTAATAATTTATAGAATCATAATCAATATAAAAGCAAAATTATTTTTTTTCCCTGTGCATCCGAGTGGCCAGGAACAGGACCTAAATGCGATCATGTGAACCCAGTGCAATGCGTTCCCAGCATGATTACCACTCTCTGATAATATATAGAAATAGGCAGCTGGAAACCTGCTGGGACGCCAAATGAATTAGCTGCTGTGAAAACTGCCGTGGGGCTGTTAGCGATTCTCACTGGAGATCCAATGTTTCGAACAAAGTATACCCTTCCCAGTAAATGTATATTTTGTATTTAATAACTCTTATCATTTAAAATTAAAATTATGAGGAGTGGCTAGTTTTAAAATAATGTTTTTAAAAAGAATTCTTCGAAACAGCCCAAAACAATATGCTCAATATAATTATTTAAAGAGTATCTGAAATGGCGAGAGGCCACTCTATTTTGGTGTAGATATTTTCACAAAATTAGATACTTACCAAACCACTGTAATAAAGTTGTTAATATTGTCAGAAAATTAAACATAATAAGAAAAATAAATGTTATAGAGGTAGACTAAATTACTTTCGTGTTATAATTATTTTCTGGATGAGATAGACATGACTACTTTTCTGACCAAACTGTGTAGAAACATAATTTATTTTTGGCTACTGTTTAGTAATGTTTTAAACTCTTCGCGTTTTGCAACGGATTACCTTTTTTGCTTTATTCCCACTCGCTTTGTTTCTTTTTATTTAATTGGATGCCACTTGTTTCAGAAGATCCCATCAGATTTTTGAGTTTGTCATAATTGCCTCCCAGCAGAACCTTTCTCGTTTGTTATATTGAAATGGCTTTTGGCCAAATCCAGTTGGTGGCAGCCGAAGCAGGCCCCAAAAATAAGGCCCAATTATCTTTTGCATTCGGCGAATAATTAGGAGCTTGATTGACATGCGGATAAGGAGACATACACTTGGAATGCCATAGCAAATTATCGAACGGCTACTGTGCTGGTCCTGATCCACAAAAATCAAAGGCCGTAACGACAGCGACAGGAGGTTGGAGCCCCAATGGGGGCGAGGGGCAGGGAGGCGGAGGATTGGGATGCGGATCGGGATGCCGTTGAGGACGACAACGACGCCTTCCATTTATTGGCTGATGCTGATGATGCTGCGCCTTTGTCTGCACATAGAGTGGTAATCTGATGCTGGGACGATACAGAAGCCACTCCGAAACAATGACCAGACTGCCGACCAGGCCGGGAAGGAACCCGTTTCTGGCCTCGCAGCAATTACAATATGTTTAACTACGTCAGCGCCTTATCTGTGGCTCCAAGGACTTGCAGTTGAAGAAAAAAATTTGACTCACATTATATAGTTTGTTATTCTTATTTAAAATAAAAGATGTTTACCTAGCTTAGCACTTTTATGATTTTATAAAATTTTAAATAAATTTGTTTGTTTATTAATAAGATTCTAAAAGAGATTAATGTTTCAATAAAGCAATTATTTTATTTAAGTAGTTATTTTAGCTTGATCCCTTTACTGTGAGACATTTGATATTTTTTTAAATCAATCCCCTTTTTTTCTGTGTGTATTCTCGGACATTTTGGGACCCGCTCCCCCTGCCATCCAGAATTTTCCCCCGTCCATGTCAGCGATTAATCCAGCCGACTGGCTGCCCCATCAAACGGCTTGTTAGCCTGGATTCGGGCTCGGAATGGACTTGGGAGCCGCCTCATCATCGATTGTGTTATCGATGGCGTTGCCGGCTTTAGCCTCCGCTTTTGGGACTCGAACTGGCCCGGAATCTCATTTGCGATTAAGTTCTTATGGCCACTGTGCACATTTCGTGGAAAGTTGGCCAGCAGATCTTTATTGTTCGATTGGTTTATTTATAATAATTAGGTGCGCTGTCCCAGCGACTTTGTTTTGCCTGCACGACGAGCTCCTTTACTGGCTTCCTTTATTTTTATTTTATTTTATTTTATTTTGTTTTATTTATTTTATTTTGCTGGCTTATCGACCGGTGGCTGGCCCATAAATTCTTTAAGCTCGCACCTTTTTATTGTGCGCACTCACACACGCTGCTATTTACTGCAGGCTTCCTTCTGCGCAGATCGCAATCGGCAAACGGCTGCGCATGCGCGAGGACCACAGAAAATGCAGAAAAATAAAGAAAAATACGGCAACAGAACCTGCACCACCGGGTGGAGCGCGTTCCTTTGGTAAATTGCTCACATTAGCAGGTTGTACGACTTATTAAGTAAGCACAATTTGCGTGGCCGCCGCCCAAACAAAAAAAAAAAAAAAAAACCAAAAGCAAAAAACAAGGAAAACAAACCAACAGGAAAAAAGAAACAAGGAGCATCGGATACTGGAAATAATGGGCAGCCGTTAAAGGTGGCGACCAGGAGCCGCCTATCCCGACAAGTGATTGTTTTATAATTGCAATCGCAATTGCAGCCTGCAGTTCGCAGTTCGATCCGCTAAATTGGCCCCGAGGTGTATCGCATCGTATCGTTTCGTATCGCATCGTATCGTATGGTATCCTCCGTTGTTTGTGGGCTGGTCGGCGAAATTGGCAATCCATTTGAATGAATAATTGCTCAATTACGAGTAGAGCCACCGCCGAAGCGCCTAACGAGTCACACTTGCTGGGCGGAAAATTGTTTTCGAAATTTGTCTGGCTGCGGTCAGCATGGGTGCAGGTAAAACTTAATTGGAGCGAGCTGGAAAAAATCGTTGACTAAACTGGAGGCATTACTCTGCGTCAGAAAAGTAAACAGAGTGGATTTAAGAACATTTAAAGAGTTCATACGTAATATATTTTATAATAAAAGGAAAGAACCTAGCGATTGAACAGGAAATATGCTTTGAAAATGAACCTTTAAATAAACACAAAAATTAATTCAATCTTTTAATACCAAACCATATTGTTAACAAGTTAATTTAATTCAACATGCAAAGCTACTAATTAAATCTGATTGCCAGTTATTTGAGCTATAAACTGAACAAGTATTTATGCTAAATCGAAGATAGTCGCTTTTTTGAATTGAAATTTTTATGTGCACACACTTCTCGAATGACAACGAGCAGCGCAGCGAATTAAATACGAAATATTTGCCGATCTGGCGATTTAAGCACCCAGATTAGCCAAAGTCAGAAAAGCGCGACAAAAATGGCGCTAAGCCCGCGGAGAGACAATAAGGCACAAAAGATATAGCCACAGCAGTGGTCTGGCATTAGGGTGAAATCGAGAAATGAAACTGGACCAGTTTAAGCGGAAGCAGCGATGGTTTGTGATGAGGATGGAGCTCTGGAGTTGGAGTTCGAGTTGGAGCTCTTGAGCTCTGGAGCTGCCGAGCTGCATCTTGGATCTGCGACTTCGACTGAGGCCGC